CAGACCTAAAAACAACAAAAAATCATATTTCATAACTGTATATGTATAATGTATGTATGTGCATATTTCTGCTCTTGTATCTAATGAATTTTGGTTGCTGTGGCGGCTACCCCGAGAGGATGACAGGTTTCGCCACCTTAGCTGATCTTTTCCCCCTGTTCAGAGTGATGCTTTCCGATTTTCCAGGATAGTATAGTTCTTACAAGAGATGGTGATTATAGCAGGCATAGCTGGTCCCTATAATCATGCGATGAGACTCTATGATGAGGGTAAGCAAGAACCGATTTATTGGTAGCCACACTGGCCTTTTATGCAAGTGCCCATGCAAGGGGTACTCCCACATGGACCTTGTGGGGAACTACAATATAAAGTTACAGACCAATGACAGAGGTGTTTAAATGCACTCCCATATAGAAACATACAATTCCTCCCCTCTGCCTGGAAGATCATTGAGTCAAATACTGTATTAACTCAATTATCTCCAGGCAGAAAAAAACACCTATTTTACAAAACCCCAAAAGTACCCCAAAACACAACATATCCCCATAAATCCCTGATAGCCCCGATCTGGGTGAACAACTTATCCAAAAATCCCCCAGATCGGTTCAGGGCTTATTTTAACTGACTGCACACAAAACTACTGTCCAAAAAGAGTTCCAGGAAATCAAGCTGTGTGGTCGGTCTACTTCTGGGATTTGAAGTAGAATATAAAATACCAAATGTATAGCTTCAGGAGTAGGCTCAGTTTATGTCTCTCACTTGGCCGTTCGATTCCCATTCAAATAGCCGAACATCAGTGGAAGGTATGTGTTTGCGACTTAAGATGGCCGCCGCCACGTGTTCGAATGCCAGACGACCACTTCAAACCGCTTCGGGAGTTCGAAGTGCCGCTTCGAGAGTTCGAAGTGTAATCCTACAAGTCCAAAAGGACAAAAAAGTGTCTTTAACCAAAGTCTATTACAGGGACCATAGTCACAGGGCAGGAGGCTGGCAAACAGGCTCCTCCAAAAGCTAAAAACAGATGCCCCTAGTGATCAGGTGCCTGTAGGCAGGTACACCGACTTTTTTTTTGTCTTGTTGTATTGTCTAATTGTACAACCCTTCTGGTACATTTAATGCTCTAATGATGGTTTATGCTGCCAATGGGTGATATTGCACTGCACTGCATGAAGACTGTCATGCAGTCCATAAGGGGGTTACAAAGGTTGATGGATTGCAAAGTAGGATAAGCACCGTAAGGAGATCAGGAGTAGTTAGAGGAGAGGAAAGCACACAAGGAGAGTCTTGAGGTAGAAGGGAAGAATGGAGCCTGCAAAATAAAACTTAGAGGGGAAGAGAGACTGCCTGCAGCAGGGGTGGCCAAAACATAGCCCAAGATGTTGTAGAACTACAACTCCCATTAGGCTTTTATGCTGGCAAAGCCTCATGGGGTTTGTAGTTTAACCATAACTGTATGCATCCTTTTGGCCACCCATGACCTGCAGTTATGCACACTTTACACACTACTCATACTACAAACCCACTCTGTCCAAAGCAATCAGACACAACCACACCACCTAAGCACTCACACTCTGCTATGGACACTCACACTATGCTGGGTCAAATGGGTGATGTTGCTGGCAGGCGCTGCAATTTCTCTGTTCGCTCATCATTCTATTTGTGGTGCTACGGCTTCCAAAGTTGTCAACTGTCGGTTGGAAGATATTTTGAAGGCAGCTGACTGGTCTTCTGAATCATAGAAACATAGAAACATAGAATGTGACGGCAGATAAGAACCATTCGGCCCATCTAGTCTGCCCAATTTTCTAAATACTTTCATTAGTCCCTAGTCTTATCTTATAGTTAGGATAGCCTTATGCCTATCCCACGCATGCTTAAACTCCTTTACTGTGTTAACCTCTACCACTTCAGCTGGAAGGCTATTCCATGCATCCACTACCCTCTCAGTAAAGTAATACTTCCTGATATTATTTTTAAACCTTTGTCCCTCTAATTTAAGACTATGTCCTCTTGTTGTGGTAGTTTTTCTTCTTTTAAATATAGTCTCCTCCTTTATTGTGTTGATTCCCTTTATATATTTAAATGTTTCTATCATATCCCCCCTGTCTCGTCTTTCCTCCAAGCTATACATGTTAAGATCCTTTAACCTTTCCTGGTAAGTTTGATCCCGCAATCCATGAACCAGTTTAGTAGCCCTTCTCTGAACCCTCTCTAAGGTATCAATATCCTTCTGAAGATACGGTCTCCAGTACTGTGTACAATACTCCAAGTGAGGTCTCACCAGTGTTCTGTACAATGGCATGAGCACTTCCCTCTTTCTACTGCTAATACCTCTCCCTATACAACCAAGCATTCTGCTAGCATTTCCTGCTGCTCTATTACATTGTCTGCCTACCTTTAAGTCATCAGAAATAATCACCCCTAAATCCCTTTCCTCATATGTTGAGGTTAGAACTCTATCAAATATTCTGTACTCTGCCCTGGGGTTTTTACGTCCAAGATGCATTATCTTGCACTTATCCACATTAAATGTCAGTTGCCACAATTCTGACCATTTTTCTAGTTTACCTAAATCATTTGTCATTTGGCTTATCCCTCCTGGAACATCAACCCTGTTACATATCTTAGTATCATCAGCAAAAAGACATACCTTACCATCAAGACCTTCTGCAATATCACTAATAAAAATATTAAAGAGAATGGGTCCAAGTACAGATCCCTGAGGTACCCCACTGGTGACAAGTCCAAGCTTCGAATATATTCCATTAACTACAACCCTCTGTTGCCTGTCACTCAGCCACTGCCTTACCCATTCAACAATATTGGAATCCAAACTTAAAAATTGCAGTTTATTGATAAGCCTTCTATGTGCAACAGTGTCAAAAGCCTTACTGAAATCTAGGTAAGCAATGTCTACTGCACCACCCTGATCTATAATTTTAGTTACCCAATCAAAAAAATCAATAAGATTAGTTTGGCATGATCTCCCTGAAGTAAACCCATGTTGTCTCTGATCTTGAAATCCATGTGTTTTTAGATGTTCAACAATCCTATCCTTTAACATGGTTTCCATCACTTTCCCCACTACTGAAGTAAGGCTTACTGGCCTATAGTTGCCCGACTCCTCCCTATTACCTTTCTTGTAAATGGGCACAACATTCGCTAACTTCCAATCTTCTGGGACTACTCCTGTTAACAATGATTGGTTAAATAAATCTGTTAATGGTTTTGCTAGTACACCACTAAGCTCTTTTAATAGCTTTGGGTGTATTCCATCAGGTCCCATTGACTTATTTGTCTTTACTTTTGACAGTTGAAATAGAACCTCTTCCTCTGTAAACTCACGTGTAATAAATGACTAATTTATCCTTTTTCTCAACTGAGGTCCCTTTCCTTCATTTTCTTCCGTAAATACAGAACAAAAATATTCATTGAGGCAGTCAGCCTGACCTTTATCCTCTTCTACATACCTTCCTTCTTTTGACATACCTCTAATCTACTTTTAGTTATTTCTACTTCAAAACTATCAGCCTTTTTTCAGACAAATTCTCTCTAAGATTTAAACATTCCTAATATGAGCTTCTGTGTCTAATACAATTCCCAGATTTTACTAGTATCACATGTAAAGTCATGATTTAATTAATGACATGGAGGCGTCATAGATGTTTTTCATTAAATTACAGTACGTGTTTTATTGCTGTACAATTTAGATATCATTGGTTGGTTACTATGCACTTGGTCTTACATTTTGTTTCTGCATGGTGATAATATCGTTTAGGCCTGTTTTTAAAATTACCAGATTTTAAACTGATTTGTCACTCATATTTATAACTGCAATTTTGGTTGACATTTGGTCATTACAACGCAATAATCAAAAGTTGGTACTATCTGCCTAAGAACAAAGAATAACAAAGGACAGCCTTTTATAAAAATGAGCTCGGGTGGAGCAATTTCTCACTAGAAATCAGTTATTTAAGAAGGGCTTTTCCACCGATAACTATATGTTAAGACCATTGTAACTAGGTTTATTTTAAGCATTCTGAAATCTGTCCAGGACATCAGTTTAATAGGTTAACTTCTTGGCAGAGTTCAAAATGTGAAACATGTCCCAAGACTCATTTTTGGTAGGACAGGAGCCCAAAATCTTGTACGGACCAGGCAAAAATGGGACAGTTGCAAGTATGCCTCAAAATACCACATTTTCATTCTTGTATACCTATTATTCAATATCTCAACATACATAGATGGAAGAAGCACTCAAGAGATGCTCATGCAATGTGCAAATGTCAAATGTGTGCTAAATTTATAGTGGATTCCAATGAAAAGTAGCTGGGTTTGCATGGCACTGCTATAAATGCTCGTATTTCAGTGACGCACCACCAGCAGGGCAATGACGGTGGTGTCACCAGCGATGCCCATAATGTGCCACTGCACTAATGATGCACTCTCGTTGTGATGCATGGGACAGTTCCCTTGTGACCAGAGATGTGGGACACCAGTGAACTAAAGTGGAATAGCAGAACAGGACTCCGAAAGAAACATAGAGATAGATAGATACACTGAACAAAATTATAAACGCAATACTTTGTTTTTGCTCCCATTTTTCTTGAGCTGAACTCTAAGACTTTTTCTATGTACACAAAAGGCCTATTTCTCTCCAATGTTCACAAATCTGTCTAAACCTGTTTTAGTGAGCACTTCTCCTTTGCCGAGATAATCCATCCACCAAGATGCTGATTAGACAGCATGAGTTTAGAATTTTGTTCAGGATAGATAGATAGAGATTTACTATGCTGCAATTTTTCTGGTTTGTTTTTGTTTGACACGCCTTTCGAAGCACTTATCTCTGCCCTGGCTATATTTACTTTCAGGACAATCAAGTTTAACAGTTCCTTTTCCACTGGTCTGTGCAGCTCAGAACAATTGAAACAAAGAATGAGGAAATAGAAAAAAAAAAACCTTGCAGCTAGCAGCTGTTTCTCTTTTTAATGAAATGTCGACGGACAATGCAAACGAATCTGCTGTAAATGACAGTCATTCACTCTTCAAACTGGACAGGTACCGTTTACATATTCACAATTTGTTAATTCAATAAACTTCAGGAACTACGTAACATATGATTTATCCAATATTGAACCGAAGTCCAACTATTTGTCTGTGAAAATTGTAGTCCGGTATTGTTGCATAGTGGTGTCCAGGCAGCTCTTTTGGACTACAATTACCATAATTATCTGCCAACCTAAAAGCCACATCTAATTATTATTATAATATTTATATAGGGTCAACAAATTCTGTAGTGCTTTACAATGGGTGGTCTAACAAACATGTAATTATAACCAGACAAGTTTGACACACAGAAACAGAGGGGTTGAGGGCCCTGCGCAATGAGCTTACATGCTAGAGGGAGTGGAATAAAGTGACACAAAAGGTAAGGGAATTATTAGGGAAGTAGATTGGTAGAATAGTATTTAATGAAGACTAAGTGTGGGGTTTTGTAGCCATTACCAGTTTAATTGATATGCTTTTGTGAAAAAGTGAGTTTTTAATGATTTTTTTTTGAAGGAGTGGAGACTAGGTGAGCATCTAACAGAAAAGGGAAGGGACTTCCACAGGAATGGTGCACCCTAGAGAAGTCTTGAAGGCGAGCATCAGAGGTGGGAGTACAAACAGAGGATAGACGCAGGTCTTCAGCAGAGCGTATTTGTGTATTAGGGATGATAGGTAGGAGCAGCATTATGTAGAGATTTGAAAGAAAGAACCAGAATTTTATATTGAGCCCTATATCTTACTAGAAGCCAATGCAGGGACTGACAGAGGGATCAGGCGTGGGAGGTGCGGGCGGACAGGAAGATGAGCCTCACCGCCGCATTCATTATAGACTGCAGTGGGGCAAGTTGGGAGCATGTGAGAAAACTGAGAAGTGGATTGCAGTAGTCAAGGCAAGAGAGGACAGTGGAATGGACCAGAACCATAGCCGCATCTGGCGTTAAGTAGGGGTGTATACGCACAATGTTTTTGAGATGGAAGCAGCAGGATTTGGTGATCAACTGGACCTGAGGGGTGAAAAAGTTCGGAGTCAAAAAACACCTAGGCAGCCATCCAGTTATAAATAGCAGAGAGGCAGTCAGAGACACTAGTCAAGAGGGGCTTGGAGAGATCAGGAGAGAACAGATAGATTTCCGTGTCATCCGCATAGAAGTGATATTGTAAGCCAAAGGAGCTGATCAGTTTACCAAGGGAGGCAGTATATATCAAGAACAGTAGGGGACCAAGGACTGAACCTTGGGAGGAAGAGGCAGAGGCAGATGCAGAGAAAGAGACACTAAAAGGGCGCTGGGTGAGGTAGGAGGAGCACCAGGAGAGAGCAATATCTCGTAGACCGAGATTACAGAGGATGAAAAGAAGCTGTTTATAATTAACAGTATCAAAGGCAGCAGGAAGGGCAAGGAGAATTAGGATAGAATAGTGACCATCTAATCAAGCATATGAGTGGCTTATGTGATAATTTCACCTGGCATTGTCTAATGAGCAGATAACGCAAATTCTCAGTTGCACTCATGGGTAAAGATGATAAAAGCGCCTTATACATGCCTCCCCCGATTGTAATAGGGGGCTAGAGTTCCTCCTTCGACTTCTCTCCGGACTGGTATTTTAATTCACCAAAAACGTTTTACCAGAGTTGTCTTCCGAAAAAAGGATATTTATTAAACCAACTTAAAATAATTACACATTAGTGTTAAAATCCTTGACACACTCCTTGACACGCTGAGGTCTGAGGTCTATCTACTTAAATATTCCTGCAGCCTTATTTACACTGAACAAAATTATAAACGCAACACTTTTGTTTTGCCCCCATTTTTCATGAGTTGAACTCAAAAATCTAAGACTTTCTATATACACAAAAGGCCTATTTCTCTCAAATATTGTTCACAAATCTCTCTAAATCTGTGTTAGTGAGCACTTCTCCTTTGCCGAGACAATCCATCCACCTCACAGGTGTGGCATATCAAGATGCTGATTAGACAGCATGATTATTGCACAGATGTGCCTTAGGCTGACCACAATAAAAGGCCACTCTAAAATAAAAGGAAAAATAGTAAAGGAAATAGAATACGTCCAACTCACACCAAAGTGTAAATTACATGGATTTACAACCTGGATTTATAGTATAGGAGATTCTGGAGAACCAATCATCTGCAAATGAAAAAAATATATAGTGTTATACCATAGGTACAAAGAAATGGGGGGAAGGGGTGGTAGAGAACGCATTAGAGGGCTGGAAAATCATGCATATCTCCCTTATGTAGGGTAGCAATGTATGGAGCTTTTCCTGGATATCTCTTCTTGCTCACTATGATTTCAGATGAAATATTAGCATATCTCCACAAATAGTGGTGACAAGATGTGGCAGCTAGATCTCCAAAAGAAGTTCCCGTAATCTGGAAAGAGCGAGATACAGTGCAGAAGACAAACATAGATGAAAACAATGTAATTTAAAAATCCTATGCGTTTCGTCCAGCTTGACTTTTTCAGGGATGTGACTGTAGAATAGCCATGTTTACCTTTGAGGGTTAACACGGCTTAAGTTGCTGTAAGGAAGACCGTCACAAGAGGAGGTTCCTCTGCTATAACGAAGTTAAACTCAGTTACAGATTTCTATTTGATTAGCACTGGATTGGCTAACATCATCGACATTCATGCTCACAGCCAAAGAGGTGGCACGGCAGCAAGGAGGGCAGTGTGGCAAAGGCTAAAAGTTAAGTAATATTCTCCTTTCAAACACTCACATGGGGGGGGTTGTATTCCTAACACTATAGTGCTACTATAAATGAATGGCCAGTGGCTCCCAGCATAGAAGATTGTTCCTCTACAGGCTAGCAAACTTTCTTGGAGTATATAAATGAGGATGAGTGAGGTTTTGTGGAAAAAAAATTAGCAATGAAATATAAACAAAAGTGGCAAAACATGTATACATGATTCTGGGAGTGTGGCATGGGGAAAAGGATTCTAGTGACATTGGGAGAACTATTCTATGGAAGGAAAGAGGTAAATTAAATTTTAAAGATTTACTGACACAAGGAGGAGAAAAGCATCCTTAAAATCACACTCACTGACGATCAGAGCAATTCACTGAAATGAGAAATAAAAGTGAAATTTCAGGTTTAACCCCTTAAGGACTGAGCCAAATGTACATGTTGTGAACGAAACAAAATGTAAACAAAACCTGGCATTTGCGCTACATGTCTGTCCAACCGTAATTCACCTCTTTCATATTAAATGCACACACCCATATTATATATCATTTTATTCAGGGGAAACAGGGCTTTCATTAAATATCAAATATTTAGCTATGAAACATAATTTATATATGAAATAAATTGGAGAAAATAAGATTTTATTAGATTTTTTTAGTTCTACATGACATTTTAACTGTCAATGTCATAATACGGTTTGCTTTTACTGCAATAAAATACACATATTTCTATTCAGCAAAGTCTCATGTGTAAGACAGTACCCCCTATGTACAGGTTTTATGGCGTTTTGGGAAGTTACAGGGTCAAATATAGCACGTTACATTTGAAATTGAAATTTGCCAGATTGGTTACGTTGCCTTTGAGACTGTATAGTAGCCCAGGAATGAAATTTACACCCATAATGGCATACCATTTGCAATAGTAGACAACCCAAGGTATTGCAAATGGTGTATGTCCAGTCTTTTTTAGTAGCCATTTGGTCACAAACACTGGCCAAAGTTAGCGTTGGTATCTGTTTGTGTGAAAAATGCAAAAAAACGCCAATTTTGGCCAGTGTTTGTGACTAAGTGGCTACTAAAAAAGACTGGACATACCCCGTTTGCAATACCTTGGGTTGTCTACTATTGCAAATGTTATGCCATCATAGGGGTAATTTTCATTCTTGGGCTACCATAGGGTCTCAAAGGCACCGTAACCAATCTGGCGAATTTTAATGTGAAAAAAATGAAACACAAACCTTATATTTGACGCTGTAACTTTTGAAAACACCATAAAACCTGTACATGAGGGGTACTGTTGTACTCGGGAGACTTCGCTGAACACAAATATTTGTGTTTCAAAACAGTAAAAAGTATCGCAGCAATAATATCGTCCATGTAAGTGCTGTTTGTGCATGAAAAATGCAAAAAAATCACTTTTACTGGCGATATCATCGTTGTAATACATTTTACTGTTTTGAAACACTAATATTTGTGTTCAGCGAAGTCTCCCGAGTAGAACAGTACCCTCCATGTACAGGTTTTATGGTGTCTTGGAAAGTTATAGGGTTAAATATAGTGCTAGCAAATTAAATTCCCTTTACTTTCGGCATGGGTTGTCAGGCAGGTCCCGCTAATTGTAATTAATTAAGATACCTAATTATGTAAAAATATTACATAAATATATATATATATATATATATATATATATATAATTTTTTTCAAATATTTTGTGATATATACGTATATATTTATGTATGTAGATATATATATTATTTCGTTCTATGTGTATTTTGATATAAATATATATTAATATCACAATACAGTTAGAACAAAATAACACACATCTATATAATTTTTAATTATTTTTTATTTTATTTTTTAACGTATTTACATATTAAATTTTTTTATATTTTATATATATATATATATATATATAACAATAATTATATATATTTAATCAGCATCAGTCTACGTGTAATTTGAGATATATATATATATATATATATATATATATATATATTAATAGTAAAATACACCTAGACAGTGTACATGTGTGTATATATATATACACACACACATATATATATATATACACACACACACACACACACACACACACACACACACCATATATATATACAGAAGCCAGCTATCCTGGGCCATGTGATTGTGAGGTCCTCGCAAGGACCTCACTCTCACATGGCCGGGGGGAACCGGAGGAGGAGGATCGGCTGCGGGGGGGCTCCCTGGGAGTTCCCCCCCCCACCGCGATCGCCGGCGTGGGACCGCCGGCGACCGGGTAACTAAACAATTACGCCCAGCGGCGTTTAGAGCCGCTTAAAATAGGACGTAATTGTACGCCCTCCGGTCTTAAGGGACACTACAGTCACCAAAACAACTTTAGCTTAATGAAGCAGTCTTTGTGTATAGACCATGCCTCTGGAGTTTCAGTGCTCAATACTCTGCCATTTAGGAGTTAAGCCGCTTTGTATATGTTTATGCAGCTCTAGCCACACCTACTCTGGCTGTGACTGACACAGCCTGTATGAAAACAAAATGGTTTCACTTCTAATCAGATGTAACTTAATTGAAAAGTTTGTATCTCCTGCTCTGTAAATTGAACTTTAATTACATACAGGAGGCTCCTGCAGGGTCTAGCAAGCTATTAACTAGGCAGGAGATAAGGAACTCTAAATTAAACAGAATTTGTAATAAAGAAAGTGTAAACACTAGATGACTCTTTACAGGAAGTATTTAGGAAAGCTATGCACGCCACATGCAGGGAAGTGTGACTGGGCTGCATAAACAATGTGATCTCACTCCTAAATGGCAAATAATTGAGCAGTGAGACTGCAGGGGCATGAACTATAAACCAAAACTGTTGTTTTGGTGACTATAGTGTCCCTGTAAGACCAGATTAGCCGAACTAGACGCATAGTTGACTTAGAGAATTTTATCAGCTCAACTATTTTGACCTTACATTTGAAATTCATTTTAATTTCTCACGTTAGTGAAAGATTCTGTATATATACACACAAGAGTGTGAGAGAAACCTAAATATGGATACAGTGTATTTACCTATAGCAACATTATATAAAGTGTGTCACATTTTAAAATATCCAGTATCCAGTACACTGTTGATAGTCAGATTCTATCGTGCATTGTAAGCAAATTGAAGTTCCTCATTATAAAAGCATTAAATTCTAATTTACAAATAATGGTCATTTATTTGCTCTGAATAAAAAAAAAAAAAAGTTTGATTGCCTTAGCTGTAAGCTGTATGCACACAATGCACATTATTATAAGAGTTTCATATAGCGTAATTTACACTGTTTTTATTGTCCTTCACACTAAGTGTATTAAAACAGATTGGAGATTCCGAAAAAAAATGTTTTTCACTGCGATCATTTTTGTGTTCTCTGCAAATTATTTTTGAGTACAGCATGTATTGTATATTAACTTAATATTGTTCAATAGATAAAAGAAGGAAATCTATCATTTCCATCTGCGCCTAAAACAAGGAAACACATAATTCACTGTTTAGAATGGGAAAAAAAAAATGTATTGTATCTGACAAGACCTTGCATTGAAACATGTAAAAAGAATGACAATAAAAAGAGGGACTTGTGAATATTTTTAAAGATCACTTCGAGGGGGAAAAAAAATCTGTATGCAACAATTAAGTAGATATAACAATACTGAAAACATGTATTTTTAGGTAAGCATCCTGTGTAAGAACAGACTTAAAAGTCTTCTAATTGAGAAGTCTCTGATTGGGAGCCGCTAGCTCGAAGCTTTCAGCCCAAGTTCTCAGGGCTGAAAGGAAATCCAAGAAAGGGCTGAAATTGATTCCATGGGCAGCAGGCACACTTGTACTCAGGGGAGAAGGCAGGCGCTAATGGCATTAGGAAAAAATCTTCCCAGCTCTCTAACTGGCAGTCGGGGGTGTTTTTGACATGAGTTTTAAATAGAAATGAGCAGATTTATAAACTGCAATTAAGAGGGAACACTGCTGTGTTATATGGAATGTATCTTTAATAGAGTTGAGCGAACCCAAACTTTACGGGTTTGTACCGAATATTACATTTTTTGGAACCCGGACCTGAACACGGACATTTCACTGTATGTTCGGGTTGAAGTGCGGTGATTGGCGATTTAATGGCCTGTTTTGAAAGGCTGCAGGGCAGCCAATCAACAAGCGTTTGACTTGTGTGCCCCTAGAAGCCACCATAGCCATGCCTACTAATGACATGGCTGTGATTGGCCAGTGCAGCATGTGAGCTATCTACCAAAAGGCTGAAAGATCTAAATTGGTCTTTCAGCCACATTTACTAATACTAAGTAAAGATTACTTAGTATTAGTAAATTCAGCCCCTACTCGCTATACTGTGAGTAGGGGCATGTCTAGTAAACAGTGAGCAGCCAGTGGCTGCTCACTGTAAAAAACAAAACAAAAACCTATTGGCCCCCACCCCTAAATGGTGGGTGGGGGCCCTAAAGTAAAATAAGGGGGGGGACTATTGTCCTCCCCCTCTGACTCCCACCCTAGAGCGGTGGGTGGGGGCCCTAACTAAGAATGAGGGGGGGGGGGATCTACTCTCCTCCCCCCAACCCCCCTGCGCGGTGGGTGGGGACCCTAAATAAGAATGAGGGGGGGACCTACTGTCCTCCCCCCCCCGGCCCCCACCTCTGAGTGGCGGGTTGTAAATTTACAATAAGGGGGGGACCTATTGTCCTCCCCCCTTGTCCCCATCCCTAGGCTGTGGGTGGGGGCCCTAAATAAAAATGTACCCCCCCGTCTCCCCACTACCCCCAACAAATAACCCCTACCTAGCCCCTCATCCTAAAAATAATGAGGGGGGACTATAAGCTAAATACCTGTAAAAAAAACAAAAAAAAACTTACCATTTGATGTCTTCTTTCTTCTAAAATCTTCTTTTTTCAGCCCCCAAAAAAGGCCAAATAAAAATCCATAACAACCGACGCACTTTAAAAACAAAATTTTAAAAAAATCCATGTTCACCTGGAGGGCTCCGCGCAGACTGAGCTCTGCAGGGCGGGGGAAGGCTTATAAAGCCTTGCCCCGCCCTGCAATTAGGTTCAGAGCACTCTGATTGGTGGATTTCAAGCTAACCAATCAGAGTGCTGTGACAGGTAAAAGTAGAGGGGGCCGTGGGGGAGGACAGTAGGTCCCCATCCATTGTTATTTAGGGCCCCCACCCACCGCTCAGGGGTGGGGGCTGGGGAAGAGGACAGTAGGTCCCCCTCCCCCTCATTGTTATTTATGGTCCCCACCCGCCGCTCAGGGGTGGGGGCCGGGGGGGGAGGACAATAGGTCCCAACCTTATTTTACTTTAGGGCCCACACCCGCCGTTCAGAGGTGGGGGCCAATAGGTTTTTTTTTTACAGTGAGCAACCACTGGGGAATTAGGGAGTTATCTACTAAGCGGCTGCTGGGTTCAAAAATCTGTTCCAATTTATTTATTTAAAGTGTTTTAAAAGTAATCTGAAAATTTTAACATTTCTTTCATGTATCATCTGAAAGAGTTTTGCTACTCTACAATGCTGTCCCACTAAGAAAGCTGTGAGAATCAGAACTGCCGTCAGGACGTGACAGCTGTGACAGTGGTCCTGGGGGGACTCAACTGCTTGGGGAGACTTCATCTGATCTTGGAATCTGCGTCTTCTGACAGCGAAAACAAAGTCTCTTGACAGCTTCAGTACTCAGCAGATCTGGCATCAGGGGGGTACAGTCAGAACAGTTGTATTGGTCCGGGCCAGAGCCACAGGAAGAGCCCGGGACCTATACCTACAATGGGCATATATAGCTATTATTGCTATATAGGTATGCAGTTAAGGGCCCTGCTGACTTCCATAGTAAACTGGTGGTCCAGCATACTCCTAATTGTCCTTTTGGCAGCGGCGGTGACGTGTGGTGTAGGAGACAGATGTATGGGGGGGCCCCAGGGCAATAGTTACGCCTCTGCCCTATTGAGAATATTCCAGGCTACCTTCCTGTACCAAAATAAAAGTGTGTAAATAAAAGTTGGATTTGTTTACTTAGTCCCAATAATGTACCCAGTGCAGAAGGAATGGTAACATTGTGACTGCTGGAACCACCAACCTGAGGTTGACAGGAACACCGTACACAATTTAATGACATTCTACTATTGTGTCTTTTTTTTTTTTATAGTTTTCGCTGCAACAAAGCATTATATTGTGTATATATATATATATATATATATATATATATATATCAGTCTGTAATGGTTGCTTGGACTGTTCCTACAACAATCAGAATTTATCAGTAAATAGATTTGGAGCTATTCTTCTTAAAAGTTGATTTTGCTGCGTAGAAATTATAAGCAAAATATTGAAGATGTAGTTATAGTGCACACGTTTTTTCTATCAATAGAAAGCACATTTGAACTATAAACATCTAAACCACACATTTTAATGTACATTACCACCTATAATAAACTGTGTAACCCAATGCTCTGTAAAGCTAGGCCATGCGATCATCAGCCAGCTTGGAATCATTACCAGACATTATTGATTCCATTTCACTGATACAATGTGTTCTAAAACAAACAAATCCTGTGCAGACGCCGAACCTCCACGTGTATAGTGATAGCTCCTCCCACTCTCCCATACCTGCCACGCCCCCTTCTTGCTTCGACCCATGGGATGCACCCACGTAACGCGGCATGACGTCACGAAGGCGGAAGCGGCCGTTGTCACTGTGTATCCAATACAGGTCCCTGTCATTCTCACCGGGCCGGGCCCTGCCGCTGCTCCTCATCACCGGCCGCGGGGGGCTGCTGACCGATGGCTTCCACAGGCTGCGTGGGCAGCGGGCGGGAGTAACTAGCTTCTGCTTCTGCTGACAGGTGATAAGAGGGTACCTGCTTAGATCCGGCCATCTCCCCTCCTGAAGGGCTCTATACAGTGACTAACCCGACTGGCCGGGATATCTGCACAGGGAAAGGGCGGAATTTATATTGTACTTAATTATTTTATTTACTAATTACGCATGCAGTGGCTGGGTTTTTTTGTTCAGCCCTCCCCCCAAAGGTTGGTACAGGGTTACCTGTATGATTGCTCTGTAGTTGACTTTGTGTTTACATTATTTGAAAATGTTGATTAATCCAATTCATTACTCTATGCTTGTAATTTATAGAGACCATCCTCAAACTTAAAGGACCACTCTAGGCACCCAGACCACTTCAGCTTAATGAAGTGGTCTGGGTGCCAGGTCCAGCTAGGGTTAACCCATTCCATTCTTTTATAAACATAGCAGTTTCAGAGAAACTGCTATGTTTATGAATGGGTTAAGCCTTCCCCCAGAGCCTCTAGCGGCTGTCTCATTGACAGCCGCTAGAGGCGCTAGCGTGCTTCTCACTGATTTTCACAGTGGGAGCATGCCAGCGTCCATACGAAAGCATTGTGAATGCTTTCCTATGCGACCGGCTGAATGCGTGCGCGCATTCAGCCGACGGGGAGGAACAGAGGAGGATCGGAGGCAGAGAGCTCCCCGCCCAGCGCTGGAAAAAAGTAAGTTTTTCCCTCTTTCCCCCTTCCAGAGCCGGACGGGAGGGGGTCCCTGAGGGTGGGGGCACCCTCAGGGCACTATAGTGCCAGGAAAACGAGTATGTTTTCCTGGCACTATAGTGGTCCTTTAAAAAAAAAAAAAAAAAGGTAAAATGATCAGAGTGCATGTTACCAATGGTTTCCTATCATGCATGTAAACACCTATTCAAAGAAACATCCTAACATTAAACGTATATATTTAAAGGAACAGTTTAGAATTTGGAATACAAAGCTGTATTCCTAACACTGTAGGACCCCAGAGAGTAGAGTGCTGCCCTTTAGGAGAGAGCAAGAGACACGTATGTAATGTAGAGGTTACTCTTGGAGTCCATAAGCTTTCCTAAAGAGATGGGTTTTAAGGCACTTCTTAAACAATTGAAGACTAGGGGAGATGTCAGTCGGAGCTGGGTCGGATCCTCCACTGACGTCAGCCAATGGGGGGGATAACTAATGCGTGTGTTTATTACTTCCCCATAGGAAAGCATTGATTCAGTGTTTTTTTTTATTTTTTTTAATTTTTTTTATGGAAGTTTTCAACATGCTGGATGTCCAGTGTCGTTGCACGGAGTCAAAATCTGCGGGCTGATGACTCCCCCCTCCCAATTTAACAAAAACTAATGCAGACCATTAGATCTCTCTTATAAAACACATTAGGACAGGAAATATCAATCAAATAAGATGGGAGTGAATCAGAGCTGGAGGAGAGAGTAGAGTGCTGCCCTTTAGGAGAGAGCAAGAGACACGTATGTAATGTAGAGGTTACTCTGGGAGTCCATAAGCTTTCCTAAAGAGATGGGTTTTAAGGCACTTCTTAAACAATTGATCCTCCACTGACGTCAGCCAATGGGGGGGATAACTAATGCGTGTGTTTATTACTTCCCCATAGGAAAGCATTGATTCAGTGTTTTTTTTTTTTTATGGAAGTTTTCAACATGCTGGATGTCCAGTGTCGTTGCACGGAGTCAAAATCTGCGGGCTGATGACTCGCCCCTCCCAATTTAACAAAAACTAATGCAGACCATTAGATCTCTCTTGGATTAGGTTTGATTGGTTTTTTTTTGCATATATTTAGCAGTTTGATTTCTCAAAGTATCTGAAATTCAGTTTAGTGAATAACCCTGTGTGTGCCACACCTATAGAAATACTCTCTATTACAGTGGTTCCCAAACGTTTAAGGTTCAAGGCGCCCTTTATATTTAAATATTTTTCCAAGCGCCCCAAGTCAAAACAAATTTCTAGGTAGTATATATGTACAGCGCTGCAGCATATACTGGGCAGAAATGTTTCCTGGTCAGGGTCGGATCCTGAAACAAATCTTGGGAGGGGCTCTGGTAGATTATTTAAGGACACAATCCAGGCACAATAACCATTTAAGCACTTTGTAGTGCTCCCAGGGTAAGTAGTCGGGAGCTGAAAATTGTTTTTTTTTTTATATATATATAGGATAGGGGCTGTAGTATGTGAGAAGGAGGTAGTGTGTGTGTGGGGGGGGGGGAGTAGTACCTCCTTCTCACATACTACAGCCCCTATCCTATATATATAAAAAAAAAAAACAATTTTCATATCCCTCCTTGCTTACCTTACATTACTAATCCCTGGTGGTCCTAGTGGTGAGAGTGAACTCTAGTCTGCAGCTCAGGCTAGAGTTCACTCTCGCGAGATTCGGAGCGTTGCCATGGTAACCGAGGCAAAGTTCCGAGCTCGCCAGAGGAGAACCTGGCGGAGCAGCAGGTTAAAGCTCCCCCAGGTCCTCTCAGCCTCTGACCAGCATTACAGTGCTAGCGGGCTGAAGAGGGAGATCTCTGATCTCCCCTCCGGTCCTGCAGAGCCAGCAGGGGAGAGGGAGGCACAGTTCCCATTGCTATGATCTTAGCACCGGGGAAAAAAATTTGCGGCACAGTTTGGGAACAGCTGCTCTATTATGTTTTTTATTTGACAAGGTATATTATTATTATCACCATTCATATAGTGCCAACAGATTCCGTAGTGCTTTACAATATGAGAGGGGGGATTTAGGGCAATTACAAGAAAACTTACAGGAACAATAGGTTGAAGAGGACCTTCTATAGGTGGTGGGGTATAAAACACATTAGGACAGGAAATATCAATCAAATAAGATGGGAGTGAATCAGAGCTGGAGGAGAGAGTAGAGTGCTGCCCTTTAGGAGAGAGCAAGAGACACGTATGTAATGTAGAGGTTACTCTGGGAGTCCATAAGCTTTCCTAAAGAGATGGGTTTTAAGGCACTTCTTAAACAATTGAAGACTAGGGGAGAGTCTGATGGGGGTAGGCAGGCTATTCCATAGGAAGGGAGCCGCCCGCAAGAAATCCTGCAAGCGCAAGTTGTTGTATGGGTGCAAACAGCTGACAGGAGACGGTCACAGGCAGAGCGGAGGGACCGAGAAGGGGCATACCTGTGGCTCTGTGAAGAGATATGAGGGACTAGAATTGTTCAGTGCTTTATAGGTGTGAATTAGTACCTTGAATTGACTCCTATAGGATACAGGAAGCCAATGTGAGGACCGACTAGAGAGGAAAATCAGTCTGGTGGCAGCATTCATTACAGACTGTAGCGGGGCAATACGGCTTTTGGAAAGACCAATCAGGAGAGGGTTACAATAATCCATGCGAGAAATTACTAGAGCATGGACAAGCTCCTTGGTAGCATCTTTCGGGGCGGATGCTGACTGTTTTTAAGGTGGAATCTACAGGATTTGGCAGCATACTGGATGTGAGGCTCAAAGGTGAGGCCAGAGTCAAGTATGACGCCAAGACAGCATGCTTGCAAGGATGGACTTATGTGGATACCACTGACTTGAAGGGAGAGTGAGAGAGGAGTATCAGTATTAGGAGGAGGAAAGACAAGTAGTTCAGTTTTAGATTTAAAACTATTATTTTAACTATATTATTTTAGCTGCTTAATCAGTATATCAGTAGATTTAAAACTAGATGAGTTTCAGAAAGCGGGAGGACATCCAGTCAGAGATGGAAGAAAAGCAAGCAGTGACACGTTGCAGGATGGCAAGGGAGAGGTCCAGGTAGGAGAGATACATCTGGTTGTCATCAGCGTACAGGTGGTAGTGGAATCCAAAAAAGGCAATAAGTTTGCCAAGAGAGGCAGTATAAAGAGAAAATAGAAGGGGACCAAGGAGAGAGCCTTGGGGGACTCCAACAGAGACAGGACGAGGGGAGGAGGTATCCTTGGAAAAGGAGACACTGAATGAGCGTTGGGAGAGATAAGAGGAAAACCACGAGAGGACAGAGTCACAGAAACCGAGTGATTGAAGAGTTTGAAGAAGGAGAGCATGATCAATGGTGTCAAAGGCAGCAGAGAGGTCAAGAAGTATTAGTATGGAGTAGTGGCCTTTGGATTTAACTGCGATTAGCTCATTAGTAACTTTGATAAAGCAGTCTCAGTAGAGTGGAGAGGGCCGAAGCCAGACTGAAGAGGGTAAAGGAGAGAGTTGGAATTGAGGAAGCGAGACACACGGGTAAAGACAAATCTTTCCAGAAGCTTTGAGGAAAAAGGGAGCAGGGATATGGGACGATCGTTAGAGGGGGAGGACGGGTCAAGAGATGTTTTTGTTTTTTTTCAGGATAGGTACTACAGTGGCATGTTTAAGGTCAGCAGGGAAAATGCCAGAAGAGAGAGAGCAGTTGAAGATGTGTGTTAAGGAAGGCACAAGACAAGGGAAGAGAGATCTGATGAGTTGAGACGGGATAAGATCGAGCGGGCAAGTGGTGGGGCGGGAGGAAAGGAGAAGCGCAGCCACCTGTTGTTCAGTAGCTGGGGAGAAAGTATGAAGGGTAGGAAAGGCGTGATCTACAAAGTAGCATGCAAAGCTATTTGCTGTAAAGTGTAGTTTGGGGGGTGGTCACAGTAGGGCTAAGAAGAGAATTAAAGGTGTCAAAGAGACGCCTGGGATTGCGGGGAGCATGAACTAATGAGAGGAAAAGTATGACTGTTTGGCGAGGGCAAGGGCTGCGCTGTATGAACACAATAAGAATCTATAACTGAGAAAGTCTGACTGGGTGCAAGACTAACCAAGGAGCGTTCAGCATTACGGGAGCAACTTTGCAGGTAGCGTGTTGATTTAGTATGCCACGGTTGGGGGTGTGTCCTCCTCAAGGTGCATGTTTGGAGCGGGGCTACAGTGTTCAAGGCAGGTGAGGGTAGTGTTATTTGTGGAGATGGCCAGTGAGGGACAGGAGAGGGAAGGGATGGATAGCAGTAGTGAATCAATATCAGCTGACAGCTGCTGGAGCTCAATAGAATTAAGGTTCCTCCTGAGTTGAGGGGGGCTGGGCTGAGGTTGTTGGGTGAGGGGGTAATTGAGAGCAAATGATAAGAGGTGGTGATCAGAGACAGGAAACGGGGTGTTGCAGATATTAGATACTGTACATGCTTATGAGAAAATTAGGTCAAGAGTATTACCATCTACATGGGTGGGAGAATTAGCCCACTGCAATTACTCGAGGGAGGAAGTAATTGAAAGTTGTTTAGAGGCTGCTGAGGTAAAAGGTGGGTTAATGGGAATATAGTCCCCAAGAAGTAGGGATGGAATATTAGAAGAGGAAGTAGGTTAGCCAGGCAGCAAAGTGGTCAAGGAAGAGGAGAGGGAAAACAGGGGGACAATAAATAACGGCAATGTTAGCAGAGAAGGGTTTGAAAATGCGAACTGAATGAATTTCAAATTATGGAAAGGAGAGGGAAGGGGGTGGCAGAGATTTAAAGGAGCAGTGGGGTGAAAGCAGAAAACTTACACCGCCACATTTACTCTCAGCTTGTCTTGGGTTGTGGGTAAAGTGAGATAGTGTGAGATAAATAGGTCTTGGATTGAAGTTGATTTGACGGTGCTGCACACAGAGCGTGCATTCCAGAGGGCAGCTTTAAAGGAGGCATTATAGCGACAGTTACATGGAATGGATATTAGATTGTTGTGGTTTCTGGTGTTAGTACCAGGTGGCTTAGTAGAGGAGGGACCAGGGTTTTAGAGACATCAGCAGTAGGATAAAAAAAAGGAGGAGAAGGTGGGAGTAAGATTTAAATGTTTGGGACGAGAGCTTGTATTTAAGGGATTTAGGAGGGGTTTGTGGAGATAGGCTGGATAAAGATTGGTAAAGTGCATGTGATGAATACAGAGATGAGGGAAGCAGAGAGTGAGCAATGAAGATTGTGTCAATAGGAACAGGTAATTAAAAGGATAGAGAGATTTTAATAATGAGGAAAGTTTAAAAATAGAAGTGAGAACATTAGTAGGAGAATAGGTGCAGTGTTTTTAATATGTGTTGAATTGAATTGTAGGTGAGGTTAGGAGGGTTAAGGGTTAAAAAGGTATTGTGTGAGTTTAGTTATTTTAGGTGTGGAGAGCTTGGTGGATATGATCGGTTTGTCAGGAAAGCCAGGTAATTTGAGCTATCTATAAATGTAATGAGTACCCTGCAGGAGGGGGGAGAATTGATCATCCAGGAGTGCTAACTCTGCTTAGGGCAAATCCTGCAGGGTTGGGTGCTGTGAGTCCTGGGTGTAGCTGTTTCAATACTATATTGGGCCCAGGCTATAAGAAAGAATCTAGGGTTAGATAAGGCAGATTGTGGGTGGGGAATCATTGAGGTGTTAAAAACAAAATCAAGGAAAAAGCAGATGAAAGGGAATTTAAATTTAAGGATATGAGGGAATTGCAGAGATCAGATAGGTAAAAGTCATAAATAGGGAACATCATAAATTAATGAGGCTTTGAGTGCAAGAACGAACACTAGTAAAACAAATGTTTAACTAAACAAGAGTTAAGGATGGAGGGTGCAATAGTCATCAATTAAGCAGTAATACTGTGGGGGATGGAGATAGATAGGAATACAATTTAAAACAGAAATAGGAAAAACAAGAAGTTCAGGTATTCTCAAGATGATCATCTAGAAATGCTACCTCTGCTTAGGGCAAATCCTGCAGTGTTGGGTGCTGTGAGTCCTGGGTGTAGCTGCTTCAATGCTGTGTTGGGCCCAGGCATATTAAGCTTTTGTAATTAATCTGGCCATTGACTTTAAGATTCCTTGAAGATTGCCCATTTACCGGAATGTCCATTTTAATATTCTGATATTGGGGGGAAATTCAGTAGTTCCTCTCCAAGCAAGCAGCACTTGTAACCCAATTTTCCTGACTTTCAATGCCCTGGTGTGAACAGGATTGTTAGTGTAGCATCATGTGCTCCAAGACCCCACAAAAAAAATGAGCCTGTAGACAAGGATTCACATGTGGCATACCTGGTTGCTACAGCCTTTAAGCCTCAGGGTTCTGGCCATAACAGCCCTGGAAATGACAATTGGGCTCCATCGCTTGTCATTGAGGAGGAATCAATGATGGCTACCTCTTCTCTGTCTGAAGACACAGAATATGTACTGCGCCGCATGGGAGACCTCAAGAATTTCTTATTGAAGGAACTGCTCTCGAGTTACGAGAAATTAAAGGTTTACCCAACGTCCATGACCACTTTAAAAAGCAGAAGTGAAAGGAATCTGGCAACAGACTTAATCTGATTCTCTCCTTGCAGGCAGAGCCTGAAAGGGGAAGCTTGTGTCCCCTCTCCCTTCTTCACGGATTGCAGCACTACCTGTACCCTCCACTGTATTTATTTTCAAAGTTCCCTCCCCTTCCTTTTTTGTACCCGTTGGGGTGTGGGGTAACTTAAAGAATAATAATTCAAACCAAAGTTTAAATGGTTGCAGTAACTCTTTAAAAAAATAAATAAGGGCCTTAGGCTAACAAATTGCCTATTTGAAATGCGAATGCCCACTACACAATAGTAGATCACTTTACAACCATGCAGTCTCGCTTGCGAAGGTGGAAAATGTACAGAAAGATCTATCCAACCAGTCCATGCAGAATAATTTAGAGAGTACTGCCAGAAATTGTGGGAATCGGACACCTAAACTCTGTGCCCCTGTTGCCTTTGGCCCCAGGCATACCAGACCATATCTGGGTTATTGATCGGGCACACAAGACCTTGTGAGGCTTGCAGGTGCATAGAGGAGGAACCATCATAGTCTGGTTTCACTTTTTACAGACCAAAAAGCCTATTATCAAAAAAGCGACCGAGAGTAACATCCAATTTCCTGGAGAGGCAATCTGTATAATTTGTGAATCATAAAACAAGTCTTCTTGGATACTTGCCAAGAAAAGGCATACTTGCTACTGGATGGATGGCAGTTTTCCTCACTTGGACCAGAGGGCAAAGAAGACTTACTGGGATCCTAGTTTCAGTGTGGCGTTGAATACCAGAAGCTGTTGGGTTAGTGCTGCCTTCTTTGTTGTTCTATTAAAATTTTCATTTTTTTTCCCCTAATGTTCTGCATTAGCTTTTCTTTTCTTCTTTTTTTTTTTCTTTTGTCTTTGGCGCTCTCCTTTTCTTTCAATTTAAGTTCTACTTTTTTTAGTCTCTTACTATGTTATCTCAGCTATTTACTTTCTCAGTTTCTCTACCCTCCATTCTCTTTTCCTTTGTGGCAACCAGAGCTGCTACATAAAAAAGTATGGGACTATGGGGAGTACAGCATGTTATCGGTACCAGTTTCGTAAATATTTCTATACTCCTATTGGCTTAGGGCATTAGTATTTGTTCTGTCAAGAGTGACTTTACATTGTTATAACAGTGGGATACTTTCCTCAATGTTGCTGAATTAGAGGTGGCATTTTCTCCTATTGTCCATTGTTTTGCTATGGACAAGAGGGAGTGGGATTCTCCCCCAGGTTGTCTGTCAAAGAGTGAAACCAGGGTTCTGAACACCAAAATGCTTGTATGTACTTGGTCTTTGTTTCATTGTTTCTGATTTTCTTTTTATACATTGTTCTATTTTAATTCTCTGCTGGCTAATGGACGTGAGTGGATTTCATATGGGGACTTGTTTTGTGTGCCTGAGCAGTCCACCACAGTGGTTGCTTTGGTCAATTTTTTTCCTTACTTTCACCACTCTTGCATCTCAGACCCTTACATTGGGGTCAAGTTTTGAGTAATCTGTTATCACTACTAGGAGCCTGTCCACAAGTATGTTGTTGGGTTCAGTCTGGTGGTTCTGAATCCAGTTTTCTATTACTTGTTGGGGAACTTGTCTCTTGAGCATGATTGTAGCATTGCACCCAAGATGATTGCTGCGAATTTAAAGTGAATTTAAAAAGTTAGGCAAATATAGCCAATTTTGGAAATATTCGCTAAGTCAATCCTGTTTTCTCTATATTGGCCTACAGTTTTAGTTCACTTTGAATTCCTGACTTCAAGGGATACTTTGTGCTAGGAATACATAGCTGTATTCCTGGCACTGTAGCTCTCTTTGCCTCCCCCCTCCCTTGCGCAACATCAACAAAGAGGCAATTCTATTAAGTAAAACCTGTCCGAGACTCTTGTGGTCACTTATACCGAGACTCTTTGTGGTCCTACAGGAAGAAATTTTCAAAATTATGATGAGTTGTTACACTATTCCCGGTAAAGCTACACAGAAAGGGGAAGGCACAATAGGACCTACGTTGGTGTTCCTGTGGGCTGAAAGGGATTTATATGAACATGTGGTGGGAGTGTCATAAAGTGTCTTCATACTGGAACAAAGATAGATCTCTGCTAGCAGGGATCTTCCACCATCTGTTTGTTTTGGATCCATGGTTGTTTTTATTGTCCCAACCTTTTAGATGGGTTCCTCTCCCACCCCCAGAAATTACTTAAACATTTTACACTGGAGACCCAAAGAGCTCTGGTGGTGGGCTGGATGGGTAACTGGATCCCCACAATGCAGGAGGTCCAAGCTAAGCTGGAGGACAACTGGTTAATAGATAGCCTTGGTTCATAATTCTATGAGCAGGTACCACCATTGGAAGATTACATTGCCTGACAAGTGGGTATGGCTCATGCCATGGATCTCCTGCAGAGGAATCCCTTCTTACTTTTGTTTTTTATTTCCTCTACATTTTGTTTTGTTTTTTCTGACCTTTTATAATTTTTTCCTGAAAGTAAACTCAACATAAATGTCAATTAATATTTTTGCTAGTTTGTAATGATATAAATTTCTTTATTACTTGCACTGTCAACTATGTAATGGGAACAATTCCTATCTGATTTTTCTACTTTTTGATTGGGGGAAACACCTGCCCCTTTTTTTTTTAATTACCTATAACATTTTTGGTTCTTTGCTTCTTATAGCAATATATTGTCCAAATTGCAATTTATTGCTCAAAATTGTGCCTACTTATAAATATTTTATTTTAATATTGTAATATTTTGAGCATTAATACAATACAGTAATCTAAGTCAGGACATATCAGAGGGAGCAATCTCTGGGGGAGAGTTTTATTTTGGAAACTCTTCTCCAAGCTTTATTAACTCAATTATACAGTTGAAGCTGCAATCCTATTAGGTAGGGATGTTGACTGATATAGATTTAAAGAATCGTGTGAAAGTTTCCCTGTTTCACCCGAGCCCTGGCATTAAATAATGTCACAAAACAACTTACCTAGTTTGTTTAAAAAAAATAAATAAAAAATAAAGCACCATGACTACTTTAGTGTTTTTAAGTAGTCATGGTGCCTGTAGTCAGTATGTGCAGCATTTCGTGATGAAACTTTACAAACACACACATACTGCTACTTACGCTGGGCACACACTACCATGCATGCTGCTAACCACACTGTTACAAATACACACTGCTGCACACACACACACGAAAATACACATAGACATTTACACACACTAAACACACATTTATGTGTTTGTGTATATGCAACAATTTGTAGTTAAGAAGTCAAGTGTTTTTTTTTTTTGTTTTTGTTTTTTTGGGGGTTTTTTTGTGTGCGGTTTTTAATTTCGTTGGTTTGAAGGGGGTTGAGGATTACTTGAGAATTCTGTGCCAAGAGACTCTTATGATGTAAATCTGATCCTGTTTGTCAAGTAAAGGGAATTAAAATAGTGCAATTTCTAAATGTAATAACTGGTCACTTTCTTACAGCAGTTCAGTGGTTGAAGGAACAGAAGATACAGACGATCTTGATAAAAGCGAGATTGAAACCATGGATTTAAAATTTAACAACTCCAGGAAATATATTTCCATCAGTATACCTTCAAAATCAGAAGCCATGTCCCCACACATCAAGTCTGTAGATGATATCAAGGTTCTTGGGATCAACCTCAGCAAATTCCAAAAGCCTGTACAATTTTTTATTTGTGTTACAGGACTCTTTGTTTTTTACTTAATTTATGGATACTTACAGGTAATGCTAATAACTGTCACATGCATTGTCACTGATTTGTTTAATAGACACTGCAAGTTGTAATGTTTCATGTCATCATGTTTACTTGTAACAAAAGCAAACCGTTTAAAATTGAATTAATTTTGTTGCATAACCTGCCTTCAACATTTTCAATAGATCACTGAACATTATATTTTGCAGTAAACTTTTTTCCAGCCCTCCCCCAGCGATCCAACCTACATAATTTAAATTGCATCTGTCATGAGCAATATGAATTATTACTGCTTTAAAGGGAATGCAATCTCACCTACACATTGTGCTAGGAAATGTGTAGATGAAAAGTGACTCTGCTTTCCGATATTTTCACCTAAAATTTGCTGCCGTGCATTAGCATAGCAGTAGAGACTGTTAACTTAGCCGTCCAGATCAGCAATGCATTTTAAACTAACTTCTTTGGATCTGGGTTTCGTTATTGTGCTGCAGATTTTCCTTCCATGGCCAGAACACTTTGTAAATTGTGTATACATTTAGTTATGCATCTAGGGCATGCTGATATCTTTTTAGATATATGCAAATTTCTCTGCAAAGCAAATTTAGATAATCTTGATCAAAGGGATGGTTTGAAAGTAGAAAACCACACACAGGAAATAAGGTGAATGTGCAATTATAGAGCTTTCTTCCCAGTAGAACAGACTATCCCTTTTCAATATACAAGCCCACACGCTTTACATGATTAGTGTATGATCATATTCCCAATAAAGATATACATGTATGCAGTTCATGTTTGCAGCATGTTCACTCACTTTTTAGTTATCAAAGTTAGTATTATTTCATTTCAACTTAATTTTTTGTGAGCTAATGAACTTCAGAATGTTCTACATGAAACATAATTGAAATCACCCTAGGGTCAATTCAGTTGACAAACATCATACGTAAAATGTCTGTTGTGTGTAAATGGATTTTATATTAAATAATAAACTAATGCAAGACAGGCAGTGTACATACAAGTTACAAAATGCAGATCTATATGCTGTATTATAGTACAATTAGATGGTGCATAACATTCCCTCTATAAATGGTTTCGTCATTATCTCATTTGAATTGAAATGCTACTGATTTTTTTAGAAACTCTTTGATTTAGGTTATATGTTTTTCATCAGTTCTGTGATATTGTTAAAGGTGCTCTCCACGCACCATAAGCACAACAGATTACTGACTTGGAGGAGTCAAACCGATTTTGAACAGTTTCATTTCTTAACTGGGGCCTTGCAAGCGCCGCTTCCCACCTGCACTACCAATACCGGAGAGCTGGAAATTCCTAATCAGGAACTTTGGTTAGCTGTCCTGTGCTAAGCCCTGCCTTGCATGGTTTAGCTTATTAACTGATATTGATAAGGTAATCTGCAGGGTTTAAAATCGTTGGGGCTAGCTGAAATTCCTGCCTATCTCTACATTGGTAGTGGAAGCATGTGGAAGTGCCTTGGGGACCCCAGGTTGTGGTTATGATGCTTGGAGTGTACCTTTTTAAGAGTTGCATAGATCAATGTAATTAACCGCAGACAAACTGCACAAGTAACCTATTTCAAAATAGCTCATATGGCAAGTCTAACGAGCAACTTGGCAATGTTTTTGTCTTGTAGGAGCTGATATTTTCTGTGGAGGGTTTTAAACCATTTGGTTGGTACTTGACTTTAGTGCAATTTGGATTTTATTCTGTATTTGGACTAGTAGAATTACAGCTGACGCAAGATAAGCGCAGAAGGTATGTTAAACAGGACAGCTTGTAATAATTATTTTACTACAACCAAATTATTAATACATTTTATAAACCTTATTCTCAAAGGTTTTCTGTCTGTGTCCCAACATGTGCTGTAATTATACATTGTTAATAAGTGTACAATTGGATATGTGTGTGATAATTATTTGTGAAAAAAGTGGTCATCTTCTCACTTGTCAACTATATCTGCTCTTATGTTGGAAAAATATAATGTATGAACACTCAACATACAAGAAATATCTTAAAGGGAAACTCCAGTGCAGGTCCCCTCTCCCTCCCATCTCCCATCCCAGGTAGCTGAAGGGGTGAAAACCCCTTCAGGTCACTTACCTGAGATCCCGCCGATGTCCCTCGACGGTGGTTTCGGATCGGCGTCGCTCCTCCCAATCGTCGCCGGCTGAGGAAACCAAATGCGCGTGCGCAATAATGCTGCGTAGGGATCGACCGATTATCGGTCTGGCCGATATTATCGGCCGATATTTGGTATTTTCGGCAATATCGGTATCGGCCAATTCAGATACCGATATTGCCGATAATATATAACAGGACCGCCGGGCCCATTACAAGCCCGGCGGTCCTGTGGGGGCCAGCAGCAAACGCTGGCTTACCTTGCATGCAGCTCCTACAGCTCTCTGTGTAAATCTCGCGAGACCCGCGGCCGCAGAGCGTTGCCACGGGTTACCATGGCAACGCTCCGCGCGGCACTAAGAGCTGCGAGATTTACATAGGGAGCTGCTTGCAAGGTAAGTCAGCGCTTGCTGCTGCTGAGCCACCACTGTACTTAACAAGCCACTGGACCACCAGGGGATACTATATCCCCCTCCCTGGTAAGAAGCAGGGAGGGGGGACTAAACAAAAAATAAAAAAAACATTTCAATATTAAAAAAAATATTAAAATAAAAAATTACACAAATTACATCACTACACACACACACACACATACTGCATTACATACACACTACACAAACACACACTACACAAACACACACTGGGGGGGGACTAAACAAAAAAAAACATTTAAATATTAAAAAAAATATTAAAATAAAAAATTACACAAATTACATCACTACACAAACACACACTGCACACATACTGCATTACATACACACACTGCATTACATACACACTACACAGACACACACACTGCATTACATACACACACTACACAGACAGACACTACACACACACCACAAACACACACTGCACACATACTGCATTACAGACACACACTGCACACACACTGCACATTACATTCACACACTGCATTACATACACACTACACAAACACAGTACACATACTGCATTACATACACACACACTACACAGGCACACACACTGCATTACATACACACTACACAAACACACACTACACAAACACACACTGCACACATACTGCATTACAGACACACACTGCACACACTACACTGCACACACACTGCATTACATACACACTGCATTACATACACACTACACAAACACAGTACACATACTGCATTACATACACACTACACAGACACACACACTGCATTACATACACACTACACAGACACACACTACACAAACACACACTGCATTACATACATACACACTACACAAACACACACACTGCATTACATACACACACAAAAACACACTGCATTATACACACACACTACATAAACACACTGCATTATATACACACACTACATAAACACACTGCATTATATACACACACTACATAAACACACTGCATTATATACACACTACACACACTGCATTATATACACACACACTACACAAACACACACAGTTCCCCTGTCTAAACACACTTCATCCACTACATGTGGCATGTATATTTTGTGCATTTACCTTTCGAATTAGTTTATTTATTCAAAATAGTAAATGTACAGAATATCGGCAAGATATCGGCTATCGGCCTGAAAGTTCGCAGATTATCGGTATCGGTATCGGCTCTAAAAAATCAATATCGGTCGATCCCTAATGCTGCGCACACGCGCATTAGGTCTCCCCATAGGAAAGCATTGAAAATGATTTTCAATGCTTTCCTATGGGGAATTGAGTGACGCTGGAGGTCCTCAAACAGCGTGAGGACGTCCAGCGACGATCTAGCAAAGAAAATCTTTGCTATGATGCAGGAAGTGCCCTCTAGTGGCTGTCTAGTAGAAAGCCACTAGAGGAGGAGTTAACCCTGCAAGGTAATTATTGCAGTTTATAAAAAAACTGCAATAATTACAGTTGCCGGGTTAAGAGTAGTGGGAGTTGGCACCCATACCACTCCAATGGGCAGAAGTGGTCTGGGCGCCTGGAGTGTCCCTTTAAGGAGAATTTTATTACACCACTGTGAACCCAGCAACTTTTAGGTCCTATTAGGACCTTTGTCAAGTCTAGGCTAATATAGTAGAAAATAGAACTTGCTAGGTTGTTTAATTCATGTTTTTACAATGATGAAAGTACTTATGTCTGTTTTGCATGCCTTTTCATAGTTAACACAAACCTGTTAAGATAGCGCTAGGCACACTTTTATATCCTGTACAACTGTACAGAATCAATAAATGTGTAAGTATTTCAGATTTGAAAAGATTGTACAAACAATCGAACGGATTGCAAAGAAAAATGTATAATGTTTATGTATTGTGTTGGTGCTTCTGACACCCCTTTAAAAAAAAATAAAAAAATAAAGACCTTTGCCATGACAACAAAATAGTGTATTCAAAGTGAGAATTGTGAGTGCATCAAGAATATTGTTCATTACCATTATAATACAACAATAAAATTATATGGGGAGGGGGGGAATTGGATATATATACGTTTAAAGTAATTATAAAGTGGACATATTAATACGAACATGTGATCTAAAAATGATAAAGGAGGTTGTTTGTTTTTTTGGGGGGGGGGTTTAATTTTTTTTTAGCTGTGGGTGGGTTAAATAGAGATCTTTAGGCATCCATGTTCCCAGATTTCTCAAAATTGATTGGAATCACTACCAAAGACCAGCCACCATTTGCAGCTGCTGTCATTAAGTCTGCACCGTCCTGTTACTGCTATGCTTGGCTTCTAAGAGGAGTGGGACCGAATTCATGATGGCAGGTGCAAACAATGGCTAACTTCCCTTGAATATCTCTACAAACCGTTTGAGGCAGCCAGGAACATATATATTCTATGACTCCTTACACTGGCTTCCTCTTTCCTACAGGAGTCAATTCAAAATACTAGCCCTTACCAATAAAGCTCTAAACTCTAGCCCCTGTTACATTTCTTCACTGATTTTATAAGTATACCCCTTCTTGGTCTCTATGCTCTGCCGGTGACCACCTCCTGTCTACTGCTCACACCCTCACTGCTAACTCACGCTTGCAGGACTTTTCATGGACAGCTCCTTTCCTTTGAAACAGCCTGCCTACCCCCAACAGACTCTCCCCTAGTCTTCAATCATTTTTGAAGTCCCTCAAAACCCATCTCTCCAGAAAAGCTTATGACCGCCCAGAGTAACTTCTGTGTCATAAATCTGTCCCTGGCTCTCTCTCCTAAAGGGTCACTCTCTGGTTCTGATGCTTTTTCACCTTGTTTGTTGGCTGTCCCCTTTGATGTCCTTCAATTGTGTCTTCATACTCCACTCCTCTAGACTGTAAGCTTGTTTGAGCTGGGTCCTCCTCTACCTGTTGTTCTTGTAACATTTTATAATTGTCTCATTTACATACATTTTCCCCCTTTCATAAAATTGTAAAGTGCTTTGGAATAAATACCAATAATAATGTATCTGCATGACCAATACAAGTAAATGAGTGTGGATAAGTATTTCTTGACACAGAAGCTTGAATGGCAGGGAACAATCGCTGTAATTTCTGCTTTTTTTTATAACATACTAATGTATTAACTTCTGTAAGGTATTCTAAAAGATGCATAGTTGTGAACTATGTAGTAAAGGATAATTGAGAGATACTGGACTTAAATGCGAATCTTATAGTTATAGAAAATAAAGTTGAAAATAATAAAGCACACGGGAGTTAATCAGAGTTACTCCAAGAACAATGATCCCTGCACTGTTTTTAGTGTCTATTTGCAGCTTTTCACTAAGAAACACTGCACCTACAGCGATATATCCCAGTTCTGCCACAGGTGTAACTCCACTGAAAAACCGTGCCATTCAGTCAACCTTGAGCGAGAATTCAGGGCTGGCTATTGTTAATTTTGTGCATATTGAGTATCTGACATTGGCACGGATAGCATGATGGTGGTATGGTCACCCTCTTAGCGTCCCAGGTCATCCCATCAGCCTGTCCTCACTGCCGGTGAAGGTATGTTACAAGAGGAAGATAGTGTTGCAGAGTTGTCTAGGATTTGCAGGTAGTTTCTGTTTGCTTTATTTTTGCTTTGTTTTTTTTTTTACTTTTGGCAGCAGGAGGGTTGGGCTGGCATGCCATTAATGGCTAAAACAATGTTTCATTAAAACACGGTTTGTTTTAAGTAACCTTTTAATGCTGCAGAAATGGCTGCACAAATTGTCTGTAGAATGCAGAAAATCAGGTTTGTTGCTGTTTTTATTCTTGTTCTGTACCAGACCTATCCAGTTAATTATCATAGGGAGTGAGCAGTATATTACCCCGCTACAGCTTCTTGAAAGGAATACGTTAAGGTTATTTCAGATTGTTTTGCAAATAAGAAAGGAAAATATAAACCACTGTGAAGATCTCCCTTGCAGGCTCCACTATTTTTCATGTTGTCACTGTGTGAATGTTGGGCCAATACAAAATCCTGCAAGACTACGGGATCCTTTATAGCTCTTCTTATGAGGTGTCTTTTGTCACATTTTAGCTAACTTTGGCCCTTAGAAAATAACATGGTACTCTATTTGTTTTATATCCAATGATCGTGTCATAATACATTCCAATGTAGTCAGTATGAGTATTTCGGCTGATACCAGCTATACTGCTGCCCTATTCACTGTTTTCACACTATCCCATTATTCCAGCAGACAAACCATTCATTTGTATTTACAGGAGAGGAAACGAAAAGGCAAAGCTACTGAATGGGTTTATTTGTTATCGATGCAAGGGATTTTGAAAATCTGGTCAGAGGAGATACCGCAGTATATTATGGGTTTAGATTCTGACACACTCCCATCTTTTGTGCCAGAACACAAGAAAAAGCATTCTCTTAAGCTAAAATAGTTGTGTTTTGAATGTTATTTAGTGTTCTTATGTCTGTATGTATATATTATGTTTTACATATAAAAGGCAGTCAATGTTTTCTCGAACGGCCTAAAGAAAATGTTTGCTGTTAGCCTACCTAATTTACTGTTCCATAATAGTGTGTTTCTATGTTAGATCTAATATGTTTAATTGTGAAAATAATACCAAATCTAGCACTGAAAATTAAATCTAGTAATATTTAATTTCTTAAGCATTGTGTTTCTAATGAGATCCTTACAACGATGCACAGAAAACCTAATGTAATCACACTCCTTAATTTACTGTAACATGCAGCCTGGATCATGTTCATTCTATCCTAATAAAAAGGTGTGGACAAAATACATATTATATTTCTGTTTTTCAGGATACCTGCAAAAACCTACATGATCATAGCTTTCCTCACTGTGGGGACAATGGGTTTGTCAAACACTTCCCTAGGATATTTGAATTATCCTACTCAGGTTATTTTCAAATGCTGTAAATTGATCCCTGTCATGATTGGAGGAGTGTTTATTCAAGGTATTTACCCTTATTACTTGTGCTGTATATTGCTTGTTTAAGCTGTCACATTTCAGTATTTCATTAAGGTAGAATGTTGAATGCAGTGGACTTTCATTGAAATTCCAAAGCAATCAAACAATATTATAAGGTAAACTTTTTGGGGCTTTTTTGTCTTATGGGGACAGTCCAGGCTGACAAAATGAAGAGCTTCCACTATCAACTCTTGTCAATACCCACCTCCATCTGTAGCAAAACAATGGGAAACTGAAATTTTTTCATACATCTAGAGTGTCTGTCTGTGGACGGATGCATGTTCATGCATAGACCTCTCTCGTGCATGCTTGAGATTACAGGAATGGATAGGCATTAAATCCACTAGCTGTCCGTTCCAGACACGAAGTAATGGTAAATAGAGAAGTTATAGTACCAATTCAACCTCATTATTATGAGCCATTAAAAATAAATTAACAGCAACCGTTTTGAACCATGGGTCCAAGTTTAGTGATTTTCAAGTGTTCCTGGACAGGTAGTGTAGAGGACTAGTTTGGGTGCCAGTGCTTTGTTCGATATTGTAAAATTTTGTGAGGGCTCCCATTTTCCTTTCACAGCTGATCATTCCTCAAAAGAACGCCAAGAGTCCAGTTTCCATCCATTTTAGGCTCATTGGTATAGGTTACTGTTCAGTTGCCCCACTTTCTGTCCTAAAAAAGCCCAACATCTTAATAAAATGGGGGTTATTTTTAGCCCTTTATTATGACAGTCCTGGCAAATGAATTGTCATGAAGGAATTAAAAACTAAAAAGACTGTTGGAGCTTCTCATGCCTCACAATGTCAAGCATGAGGCAGAAGTCAAATATTAATGTTAATTTGTACTTTTGTCTGTAGTTTATCCTGTAAGTTGGTGAATGCAACGAGAGGTGGAGCTGTTCCTGGCAGTGTTAAGTGGAACCTCTAAGCATCATAACCACTACAGGTAATGTGGTTATGGTGCAGTTGGTTGCATTTTTGTCAAGCCATTTTCAATCAATTTGTCAAAAATATAGGGTATTTGCCTGTAGGCTGAGCCCATGTCTTTAATTCCTGCATAGGTGAGTGCAAAGGGTGTGTCAGGTGTGCCAGCCCTAATGCATGGGTTGACAAAGAGATCAAATAATCTCCCTGACTGCCCCTAGACGACTTCATTGCAAATGAGGCTTTGACAGAGAGCAGTCAAATGTTATATCCCCAACCCCTCCTTATGGTGTTTGTCTTTCCAAACTGTCTGAAGGTATGGGAAGAATTGACACAAAGAGAATGCGAAAGAAAATAAAGAGGGGCAGAAAATGTGAAAAGAATAACTAATGGGGGTGAAGGGGTGGAGTATTTTTCTGTCTCTCTTTATGATTTTAAGACTCATTAGAAGTTGCATTTTCAGTTTAAATAGTGGAAATCACTTCAATGTGTTGAGCTATTTAATATTGCTTTTGTTTGATTTGTGGTTGCAAACTTGCAAGCAGCTGACAGTCTCAAGCATTTTTGACAATAAACATGATTTTCAATGGGGGTTGAATGATTTTGATTACAACTGTGTGTGTGTGTGTGTGTGTGTGTGTGTGTATATGTATGTATGTATATATATATATATATGTATATGTGTGTATATATATATGTATGTGTATATGTATGTGTGTGTATATATATATATATATATATATATATATATATATATATATATATATATATATATATATATATATATATATATATATATATATATATATGAGAGATATAGATAGATAATATTTCAGTAGGTGGGGGAAAATAGAGAAGGACATGAGGGGTATGAAAAGAGACATCACTGGACGAACGAGACACTGGTAAAATAAGCAGGGGCAGATGGGAAGACATTCATGTGTATAGAATAATGGGACATTATGATGACATGACTGTGTTATTACTGTGGAACTCTGGTATGCATTTGTACACCGTGAATACTACATTAATGAGCCCCAAAGTATCAAAGAAGTTCTGAATTGTAGCAAATTTAAATCTGAATTTTAAAATTAAGGCTATAGCGAAATTGGAAAATTCTCCAATTGAGCTTTTTCTTATATTGGCAATTTTCTAAAATTTGGAGTCAGTGAATTACCCTGGTAGTAATGTGCATTATAGATAAGTAAATATAATTTTAAAAATTATGTGCCGTTTGCCATCACTTGACTCCAGTTGAGAGAAATAGTACACATTATTATTTCTCTAAATGGGAACTGGCGACAGCCTGAAAGGAAGAAGGGGGTGGGGAAAGGTAGGCAACAGTGTTGGGTGCCAGTTCCCCAAGTGTTTGGTTCAGCATTTTAAAGGAACATTATAGTCACCTAAATTACTTTAGCTAAATAAAGCAGTTTTAGTGTATAGATCATTCCCCTGCAATTTCACTGCTCAATTCACTGTCATTTAGGAGTTAAATCCCTTTGTTTCTGTTTATGCAGCACTAGCCACACCTCCCCTGGCTATGATTGACAGAGCCTGCACAAAAAAAAAACCTGGTTTCACTTTCAAACAGATGTAATTTACCTTACATAATTGTATCTCAATCTCTAAATTGAACGTTAATCACATACAGGAGGCTCTTGCAGGGTCTAGCAAGCTATTAACATAGCAGTAGATAAGAAAATCGTAATTAAACAGAACTTGCAATAAAGAAAGCCTAAATAGGGCTCTCTTTGCAGGAAATGTTTATGGAAGGCTGTGCAAGTCACATGCATGGAGGTGTGACTAGGGTTCATAAACAAAGGGATTTAACTCCTAAATGGCAGAGGATTGAGCAGTGAGGCTGCAGGGGCATGTTCTATACACCAAAACTGCTTAATTCAGCTAAAGTTGTTCAGGTGATTAGTGTCCCTTTAAGACGATGCCTAGACATAGCTACCTCCCTAACAACTTAAATGAGAATTAACTTAAGTTGATATCAAGGTGGAGTGTCACTTTAAGTATTAAAAACGTTTTTATCTTTTTATGTAAAATGAAAAATAACTTTGAGAAAGAATTGTTGCACATCCGGATTACTTTTTTGGTGAGATATAAGATAATCTAAAATAAAGCATGCTCATAAAGCAAAGTATTTCACCGTGAGCTTTTATTGCTAACAAGGGGCCTGGTCTGTCTTCTAAATGGCTATTTGACATGCACTCAGTTCTACATTTTAACTATATTTTGACTGTATGCTTACTATAATTTTAAAAAACAAAAAACAAATGCAAGATGCTCAAAGCTAAAAATGTGAAAAAAATGAACTACTCTTTGGGACCAGTGGGAAAATGTAGTCAAGAAAAAAAGATGTCACGATTCTGGCTTACTTTATTCTTTCATGTTTCTTTTTTTTTTTTTCTCTATATGTTAAGACTGAACTACGACTGGATGTTTACTCTAGAGCATATATCTAATTTTCGGATCACCTAAGTAAATTTTTAAAGGTTATAACTCCCGCTCAGCTCCCCTGACCCTCCTCTTTTAACCTTCCCCCCTCCACCTCCCTTTCTCATTTTTTTCCACTTCAAAAAGATTGTTAGCTATACACGAAAAAAAAATCTAATGAAGCAATTGTATTGTTACTATAAACTATTTTTTTGTTTTATTTTTACTCTTTTTGTATATTTGATGTATGTATCTTTATATACAATTTGTTTTATATGTATGCATTATAAAAGTATTGCATATATGTATGTTAAAATATAAAACCTTTAATAAAAAATATTTAAAAAGGGGGGAAAAAGTGAAAATGCTTTCGAAATGGCAAACTCTTAGTTACACAGTAACCATTTAATACTTAATGCTATGGTTTTATGTCACTAAAGAATGTATGAAACAAACAAACAAATTAAAAGAACATCCATTTGATGACTAGGACGGAATTGCAACTTTGTCTTTTTTTTTGTTAATATATAACTCAAAACGTTCTTGCAGTACACATTTTAAATATCACTATAGGGTCAGGAACACAAACATGTATTCCAGATCCTATTGTGTTTAACCCACCATTTAGGTGGCTTGCCCCCCTATAAAAGTTTAAAACTCACCTTATTTCTAGCTCTGCGCGGGTCTGCCGGCACTGCCTCCGCCCCCTTTGTGACAATTAAAATGGCAGATTTTTAGCCAATCCAATGCTTTCCCTTATTTGGTAAAATCGGCACGGGGCGGGATTAAATCTCTATGAGGAAAATTCAGCGTCTCTATGCAGAGCGTTTGGATGCTGAACGGCAGGGCTGCTTACTGTGCAGCCCTGAGCCAGGAAGCCACTCCAGTGGCCATCTAAGGAGTGGCCACTTGGAGGTGTCCCTAGGGGCAATGTAAACACTGCCTTTTCTCTGAAAAGGCAGTGTTTACATGAAAATGCCTGAAGGGAACTATTATACTCACCAGAACAACTACATTACGCTGTAGTTGTTCTGGTGACTATAGTGTTCCTTTAACTCTTTTGAATCAGTAGAACAAATGGTAATATTATGACTATAAGCTTAGCCATTTTTATTAATGCTAAACCAATGTATATATGTCTTTTTATACAGGAAAACGATACAATGCAGCTGATGTGGCTGCAGCAGTCTGCATGAGCGCTGGACTTATATGGTTTACATTAGCGGATAGCACAGTTGCACCAAACTTCAATGTAACTGGTAAGTCTGTGGTGGTGGTTTTTTTTATTATTTATTTATTTTTTAATGTAAAATCAGTATTCATTGAAACTTGCCTTGATGACTAATCCAAAAACACTATCTGTGTGTTGACCTAACCGCTAACATATGTCTGCAGAAACATATACATATGCTATATTATATTTTATGTGATTTGCTTGATTTCTAACATCAGCCACTATGAATAACTCCACTTTAAGCACCATAACCACCACAGTCCACTATAGTCGTTGTGGATCCAGGAGTGCCCTGGCATTCTCCCAAAAGTAAATAGTCAAACAGTTTTAGAATAATTTGACTACTTATTTAGGTCCAGGGCCTCACTCCTGGACATAGAGCGCTGCCTTGTATTGGGCTGTGCATAGGAATGAAGAGACATCCTGGGGACCCAGGTAAGTTGCTTCTTACTCTGGGTGGTTATGATTTGTGGAGTATTTCGTTAAGTATACTCGTCAGGCAAAAATGGATTGAAACCACTTACTAGAAAACTGCAGTTTATTTCAGTATTGAGTTATAGACTTTCTCTGAACTATAAATCCACTTGAAAAGAACAATCAAGCCTATGCTATTATTGAAGTTAATCTTAATTAAAGATATTTACAGTATTCTGCACTACAATGCTTCAATACTTACTGTGCTACTTCATCTGACATCACTGGATCAGAAAAAGAACAGGCTGTGAAATGAGAAGAGTACCATTGCATGCAAATGCACAGACTGCTGATATGAACATGCACCCATGCCAAGGGTAGGCAACCTATGGCATGTAAGCCTGCGATCCAAATGGACCAGCTGGTGTGATTAGAAGATTTTTCAAGCAGCAGAATGTCCCAGCCCCACAGGTGCAGGCATCATTGGGAGCTCTTCCTCGCAAGCCGACACTTCCCTGTGATTCAGGTACAAAAGTTACTTTGGCAATGCTCCGACTTATTAAAAAAGTGCCAGATCCAAGTGAGAGCCATAAAGGGTCAGCACCCACATAGGGTGTAGAACAGCAGTTCCACCACCCGGGATTAAAGGGGGGGAATAGGCATGCAGGCCACTTCATCTCATAGAAGTGGTCTGGGTGCAGTGTCCCTGTCATTTTAGAAAACAAACAGAAGTGTAGAGATTTTGATACTCAAAAGTGACACTTCCAAAGTGGAAAAACAAAACTAAACTAAAATACAACATTGATGAAAGGAAGATATAATAACCAAGGATATCTTTAAAAAAAAAAAAAAAGCCAAAAACACACAACACCTGATCTCATCCATGCTACAAGCTCCTGAATCGACTTTTGCAATCGACCACTTTTCATGCATAGATTCTGGTCTCTCATCATTAAGTCCATAATGAATGCTACAGCCATACTCCTCTTCCTGTCCCCTCTCATGGAGAACACAGGGCTTGTGCGCTTCAATTGCTTTTTATAAGCAAGCATAAGCTTCTGTTTTGTCCCAGCAAAAGCAAGCAGGAGGAGCACCCTTCCATCTTCCTGACTGATGGCTTGGAGAATGCAATCATTTCAGTTTATGATTTCTTTTGCAATCAGCACTTTTATACCGTGAACTCTGTTAACCTCTAAAGCACTTCAGACCAATAAAGCACATCAGCTTGCTGCAATGTCAATTTAGTTCAGCAGTATATCCATGAACATCTTCCTGGATTTCACTTATATTAGATTTCAGATGTCCAACCGTCAGAATAGCTTATTATGTATTTCTAATGCCTTCCAAAAAGTTTTACACTTCTGTTGCTGTAAGATTTTGAAGGTTTTTTTTTTTTCTACAATTTATTTTTCTCTTGTTACAGCTGCATGGCTATATTGGCTTGGTTATTTTATTTTTTGTCAATCAGGTTTTTTTTATTGACATTGTTGCAAATGACATATGATATATAAAACCAGCACAGGGTACATTTAACAGGCAAATAGGCAACAACAGGTGGTACAGACCTTGCTGGTAGAGGTAAACATCTCTTATAATTAAGTGTAGTAGACCGTTGCATAAGTACATTACTAAATAAAAAATAGGGAAAATTAATTATAGGTTAATGAATAAGCTAGTGCAGATTCACAGCATATAAATACAGATTAGTTCTGTCGGCTCACTCAATATAAGGCAGATAATCTCAATAATGGGTCCCAGTGTAGGCATACATGACTGGAGAAAACTAAAGCTAAATATTTAACTGTAAGGCACATACACTTATCGAACTGAAGCAAGATTCCGCCACAAGCTAGTCGAACCGGCCCAGCACAAGAACTTTTTGGGGGAATGCAAGTCCCAGGAGCAGTCCATCACCCTATTCCAACCCTTAGGGCTTGATGTAATAGCTCAAAGTGTGGGTCGCTCAGAAGTCTCAGCTGGGTACCGCTTTGCTGTGTGTCAGCTGCCATGATCCGATCTCTATCACTCTGGTCCCAGGTGGAGATGCGAGGCCATGAGTGGCCAGCAGGGGTAGCAACTCGGATCTGCTTTCTGTTCCTGGCGTTTTGGTGACCACACTGGACTGACGGAGACCCACTTATTTTACACCAGTTGCTTATTATTTATTTTTATTTTTTAGCACACACTGTTTCTCTATGCTTCGAAACATAGGACAAGAAACACAATAAACAAAGGTCAAATAGGAATAAGTCTGCTTGAGCACTTATTAAAATCAGGGGTGCCTATATGCTACCGTTCCTCCAAAACGAATTACAGCCCCCAAAGTATAAAGGTAAATGGGACTAGTACTCCTTAAAGTGATTGTGATACAGCATGCATTTGCTGGTACTTAATCTGCAACATTTTGACCTAAATTTTGTTAAACTTTTTGTTATGTAAGTCACTTTAAGGAGTGCTGCTTCCGTTCCTCTTTCTATTTTTACAATAATTAAAGAGACAAGTGATAAAAAAACAGCACACTAGTTTATTACCTCATATTATTCTTTGCAAGAGGCAAAGTTTTTGGTAACATATGTTAAATGAATATTGACACTAGCATATGCATGGCTAAATGCATAAACCAGCAGAAAGTCTTGAAGGCATTGGTGCTTTCAGAAAACATACCACTTTCTCTATTTTATATTAACTTTCAAATGAAAAATTCTTAAGGATTCGGTAGCCTAAGGGAAGCAGTTTGGATGCTAGTTACTAAATGCCAAATTGACTTCACTTGACTTTTACTCATAAATTTTTCGGAAACATTGATACATAAACTAGTCTGATTCTAGCTGAAGCTCTGTTTACATAATTTAATCGGATTCCTTTGAACATTATGAGGGACAAATCTATTCAGATGACATTTTTTTGCCTAAAGGAAATAGAACTGTTCTGCGAATATAAACAATGCTTGCTCTTGTATGCTATCTCCTGCAAATATTATCATCATAGAGTCCCAGTCATTTTAGGGCTTGGATTCTATTAGCGCTTTTTCTTATATGAGCCTGTATTCATTATTAACCCATTAAGTGATGACTTGTACCTGTAATTATTAACCTTTTTAATTCTAGATGGGGGCTTAAATCATTGCTAATGCAATTTACAACCCCATGTATCTCCTATAAAGTACATTGTTTTGGAAAGAAGTTGCAGGTGCCATAGAAATTGCAATCTTCTGTCTACTAGGTGACATTCAGCGTGATCAACCTAAAAGTGACTTAAAGGGACACTCTGGTCACTATAACAACTTCATCTAAGTGAAGTTTTTATGGGGCCTGGAGATCCCTGGGCTCACTCTCAAATGCTTTAACACAAAAGTTTGCCTCCAGTGCTGAACCCCCAGGCTGTATCCGGCTTCTGGATATCCGTTACGGGAAGTGTGGAGTGCTGCCGGGCAGGCGCACAACTAATTGGCTTAGTGCAGTAATTTTATACTCTAAGCCAGGGATTCCCAACCCAGTCTTCAAGTACTCCCCCATCCCCTCCCCCAGTCCAGGATTTAGATATTACCCTGTTGTGTCTAAAGTGTTTTTAGTTTTTTTCTAAAAACACCTTAAACTCAACTGATCCCTAAATCTTGGACTTTTAGGGGGTGTACTTGAGGTGTGTGTTGGGAACCACTGCTCTAAGCCAATCAGTTCCCCATTGATAAAACAAGTTACAAATACTAGTCTTTTAGTCCACCCATTGTACAGTGCTATGGAACTTGTTGGTGCTTTATAAATAAACATTTTTAACAATGGGGAGGTACTGATCGTTTAGAGCATCTGTTATCTGCTCTAAGCCAATCACTGGCACCCCTGCCCTGCAGCACTCTGCACTTTTTCTGTAACTGAGATCTGGATGCCAAATAGGGAATCTGCAGATTGGCTCTGGAGGGGAACTATGGGATTAAACCGTTCCAGCACTGCTTGACTTCTTAAGGTATTTCATTTAGACAAAGTTGTTGGTGTGACTGGAGTGTCCCTTTAAGAACTCCCAAACCGGCTCAAAAATGTCTTAAGTGCCGTTTTTAAAACGTTGGATCATGTGCCCGAGTAGCTATTATGCCATCATAATGACAGCCATGATCCCCTGATAACACCAAGTGCATACGTAACAAATTTATGTGGAAGACTCGAAGTGGGTTCGCTTCCAGTTACCGCCAAAATGAAATTCTCCTCTTTCAAATAAGATTTCCTGGGTATGGGAGGGCTGGCACATTTTGGCCTGGGGGTAAGTAAAAATGAATTGCCTCATTTTGCACATGAACATCCCAGATCCCAGATGCATTAAAGTACTCAGATTGAACTGTCAAGGCCTATAGAAAGTTGCAGGTTACCAGCCCACAGTGCTGGGCTAGCAAAGGCCCCTAAAATTCTTGCTTGCTGCCTCACTCGTACAGTACTCTGCCAACCGGAATTCCAAAACCTGTCCATTTACTTTGAATCAGAAGAAAGTCTGTGGTCCACAATTAATGTGTGCTAGTGCTTATTACAGTAAGGCAGTTTAAACATGAATGTTATTTTGATTTAGATCACACACTGGTTATCAGTAGCACATTGTCTGTTAACTGGGGTAAGTGGAATTTATTTGAAATTGTGTAGGTTGTTGCATTGGCCCAGGAATTTTTCATTGTAGACCAGAATATCTATATTGGAAAAATGATCTGCTCAAGTCCCTGTTTGGTGACTAACCTGTCTTGTCTACCATCTAACATAACATCCCAGGGGAAAAAAAAAATATTGGTGAAAAAAGATACATCTTCAATATGAAATCTAATGGCATTATTAAAGGCTCCATTTGTAGAAGTATAAATGTGTGTTGTGATATCTAGATTTTCCTTCTTTTTTTTTTTAAGGTGTGATGCTTATCTCAATGGCACTGTGTGCTGATGCTGTCATAGGAAATGTTCAAGAAAAGGCCATGAAGTTACACAATGGATCAAATTCAGAAATGGTAATTACTATTGGTTTGACTTTTTTCTCTCTCTCTCTTTATAGAGTGAATGTGTGGATATATTTTCAGTATATTGTGATCTGCTTGGTTTAAGACTATTGTCATCTGATGCTCTTAATTGACATGGTTTTGTCGAAAGCAGAAGTGCAGCATTATTCAGGAAGATGGTGTGTAGTGTGGATGTTCTCAGGTGAAGAAATAATGAATGTATATACCTATGCAATACTATACTTGTGGGACTGGGAAGAAATAATGCTAGTGCAAATTTTCATTTTGTCTACTGGTTTCAAGTCTGAAGTGTAGAACTGGACATAAATGATTAAATACATATAACACTGATAAATCCAGGAAGATTACATACTACGTGGGTGCTGTGCTGTATATGCGAGAATAACTAACTCAAATCACTTTTAATATGGATAGATAAGGTGGCCAAGCCATGTGTATATGTGGGGTACACTGAGTCATCACTGATTAATGGGAAACGTATGTTGAGTGATCTTTTGTTAATTGGTGGTGAGTCTGTATGTTGTCTGTGTTTTAAGTATAAGGCACATATCTCTTAAATCAATTGTAGCAAACTGTGCTTGGTTACAGGGCAATATGTGTTCGTATGAGCTGAGCAGGGGTTTGGGGGAAATGCAAGTCACCTAAATGCTTTCTGTGCTTGAGTGTACAGCAGCATGTGTTTATCAGTCACACAAGTGAGTGGGACGTTTTTCTCATGTATGAGGTGCAGCCTAGATGTCTCAAGATTGAATTATCTGACAGTGGCGGGATAATGAACTGTTGCTAGTAGAAAAGTAGGAAATAGATCTAAACATGGAGACATCACTATATGAAAATCAATGGAATGAGCAGAATATGCCTTGTAATACTTCAAGTAGCTTTGTAGATTATTGAAGTGGTTACAATACTAGGAATCCTACCATTTCATTCTCCTGGATATTCTTTATTACCAGTTTAGTCTACAGTTTGTAGACTTCACCCTTCTCCTACCTATTGATGTCAATTACTTGTACTGTGTGAGAACACAGTCTGCTCACCATACAGAGGATAGTGTAAGTCCATCACTTACTGTAAGTGCTGTGAGCTAGACAGGAAACAGTGATCCTTGCATGCACGCCACTCCTGCATGTGAGGAAAATGTAAGAACGCAGTCCACCTTCACACCAAACAAGTGCTTGGACGACTGATCCTCTCATAATGGACCATGCATTATGAGAGGTCTATGCCTTAGACATATTTCTTTTTATGGATGAAGCAAATAGTTTTTGTATATTATCGATCTAAATCGTATTAATGCTTACTAAATGTGCTTAATTATATGCTTGTGATATAACTTATACATGTGCTTTAATGTTTCAGGTTCTGTATTCCTATTCAATAGGATTTGTTTACATATTATTTGGGTTAGTGGCCACCAGTGGGCTAAGTCCTGCTATAGAATTCTGCTCAAAGGTAAGTACTTGTATTAGAGTATGAAACTTTTTTGCAAAAATTTTCCCATAATAATCTTATGGGAGAAGCATGGTTAGCAAACTTTGAAGACTGAGCTGAAAATCTTATTTGACATTCTATAATGTCATGCATCTGATTCTTATGGTAGATTACCGCCCACAGTGTAAAATGCAAGAATGTTATATTATTTGAAGTTGATTTGTGTCACCACAAATGTTATTAAAAATGAGTCCTTTATGCAGCTTTTCATTACACTTTTAACCCCACAATATAAATTGGGTAATTATTTGTAGTTCGTACTATTTGCCGAACAGCACAAGTTCTTTTTGAATGCTTTAACATGAACGTTCTGTGTTTTAGTATCCATTTCAGACTTATGGATATGCATTCCTTTTCTCCCTGACTGGCTACTTTGGAATCTCTTTTGTACTGGCATTAATTAAACTGTTTGGTGCTCTTCTTGCCGTGACAGGTAAGAACATACATGAAACATTGTAGGACGGCCTTATTGGTTAATGTTCCAAATGAAGTACTTGCTTAAACCTCTGGGTCACATAATTTACTGCACTCACACAACAGCATTTACTTAAAGCATCAAGCTGGTGCATCCAAACCCCAAGGTGGCAAGCCTCAGCGATTTTTTTTATATATATATATATATATATATATATATATATATATATATATATATAGTCAAGGCACACAAATAATCTTAAAGTACAGATTTTAATACGAGCTAGCCAACATGACAACATTTCGACCTCCCATGGCATTTGTCAATTCAAATCATATAAAGCAGTGTATTATATACCCCACTCCATACAATTAAATTGTTTATATCCGAAAGTAACACATTAACCCCTTAAGGACACATGACAGAAATATTCCGTCATGATTCCCTTTTATTCCCGAAGTTGTGTCCTTAAGGGGTTAAATAGTGAATACAGAAGCCAAACTTAAATACAAATCGCATCCACGAGGATGCCCTCCATAACCCTCGCTATCACATTAATCTGTAAGTGACTTCAACATGAATTTGGCTTTGAACTATGCTGCTACACACAGGAAAGCATTAAAATAGATCTGTAGTGAGGTGTTTCAGTATTACTTGTTAAAATGTATTTTGTTTTTATATTTGTCTTCCCAAAATGTCTCATTTTAGAGTTATTATTGTATAAAGGTAGGGACTATTTTATCTTCACAGTGTTAGGGCTGTACATTTGTGGTTGCGCCAACAGAATATTTTGTTACCTAAGCAATATTTATGCTTTTTTAAGATTCAGTTAATTGCTTAACTAGATGATGGGAATTGTTCACCTTTCTGAGGTAACAAGCCATAAAAGCCAACTACCCCATCATGGACTTCTGAAAGCTACTATACTGCATGCAAATTTGCTGTACATTGAGAATGAATTTGCTGAATCATTTGGAGCACTAGTGGCCATGTTGCTCAGTTCGGAGTGCTTTCTGTTTGATAGTATTTTAATTTAGTGTGTGCAAGATTTATCCATTTGCATGAGAGTACACTGGCTGAAATACTTCTGCTACGTTCGAGTTGTTGCAGACATCTGCAGTCTCATGGAGCATATCTGGCCCTTACATTGCAACACCCACATTTTAAAAAGAAACTAATAAAACAGTTTGCGATATTTCAGTAAAGAAATATACCAAAACCATTTAAGAGATTCACTTTCAAAGAGTATTTTTCTTCCAAAACAAAATGGCTCTCTTATGTATCAGCCACAGAGCTGCATGCAAATGTAGACTAAATAAACAAGGCATCCCATGCCAGCATAACTCATGAGGACTAGAATGCTATGACTGATAAGTATAGCATTTGTAACATTTAGTCATTAATGGACAACCACAAGCACCACTTGGACACTGGATTAATATCAAATATCCTTGCCTGATGCCAATTTTGGCATGCGCACAGGTGTGAACAGCTGAGTTCCTTTATTATTAAATAAAAATATTTAAATGCATGTATTGTGAAGAGTTCAAACTTTCTCAAATAACCTTTTTATATTGATTTTTTTTTTCTTCTCTTCTAATATCTGCAGTGACAACAGGGAGGAAGGCAATGACAATTGTACTTTCTTTCTTGTTTTTTGCAAAACCCTTCACTTTTCAGTAAGTAAATTAATGTGCTTTGTGAAGACTTGCTGCTAAGCTGGGTTTTTAACATTATATTATGTATTTTATAAAATAATCTGTCCACATGTATGTAATATTTTAATACATCAGTTGTATTCAGAGCTAATCCTATTTGACAGTGTAGTAGCAAAAACATATGCCATCACGCTTGCTATTATGAATGATTTTTTTCACATTAATGCATTTTTTGTAAATTTACAGATACAATATATGTCATTGTGTTGTGTTTTATTTAAATGATTTGTATATACTGTAGCTGAATACCTCCTATCAGTTGAATTCTAGCTATGTTGAAATCTGGTTTTGACTTTAAGACACAGCTGATTTTGGCTCAGAAATTCTCTTCTGATCAGAATCAGGTTAGTTGAATCGGGTTAATTAGGAAGAGCTGTTTAGCTTTCAGATGTAACTTTTTTTCAGTGAAGTATATTCGTTAATCTGAAAGGGCACTCACGGTATTTTCACTTGCTTGAGTAAACGTCCGCTCTCCTTCAATCCTTTGCAATAGGAGATACAAAAAAGCAACACTTCCTCTTCGCTGAGTAACAAGTGTTGAGACATTGACAGACTATCCATTTGGATGCTCAAAACAAATTCACTCCCTGAAGATGCAGTGTTGCTGAATTTTCTGGCCACTTCACTATTTTCTGATAAGATTGGCCATTAGTTACCCTGCCCTCTTGATTTAAACCTCTGATAGAGGACAAAAGGTGATCTCTGAAATATCTGAGATCTGAAATATAAAATGTAAATAGCGTATTTTAGCATTGTTTTATAATTTATTTTTTTATTTTTTGTCGGAATCACATGATACTTAAGTGCCTTTTGTCTGTGTATTTTGTGATTTGTGTATTTATTAATGTAACTTTACAACCAAGTATTTATTGTTTTTCTCTTCTTTCAGGTACATATGGTCTGGATTGTTAGTTGTTCTTGGAATATTTTTAAATGTTTACAGCAAGAATATGGATGTTATGAAACTGTCCCAAATTTACAGCTTCTTGAAGAAGAAGGGAGCAGAAGGGAAAACTAGGACGTTCTCTCAGACTGTATAATAATTTTTGTTTTTCTAGGTTTTTATTTTATAATTAAAACAATCATTAAATGATTATATTTTTCCAAAGGGAATATGGATACACTTAAGATAAAGATAAGGCATATTGCCTACTTGCTACTGCTGAGTACAAAATCAGACAAAATTGCAGCGTCTGATCCGTTTCCTCCACTCTGCTGACCTGTGGGCGTTATTTAGTATAAGGTTGTGTGTGATCTTTTGCAAGATGTTTAGTTCTGGGAGAGTTCTCAGCCTCTGTCAGAAGGGCATATTTCAAATGGACCATGGCATTATTTTATATTCTTTTAATACTGCAAAAGAAATTATGATCAGTGTTTAAAGACCAAATTGTCATTGTCTCAAATGAAAATGTATTTTAAGATGTAAATCACATCAGTTTGTTTAGGTTAATCATGTCATGCAGGTTATAGACTGTTTAAACTATACTATGTCTGTTTTTGCGCATGGGCCTTTTACAAATAATAAAAAAGTCATACTAAAGAATTTTAACATGAACTGCAATGGAGTAGCATTTTTTGTTTGCTTGTTTGTTTTTTTAACCCACGTTTCTGATGTCTACTATTTGAATTCACAAAGTGGACAAGCATTCAAATTCTGGTGGACTGGCAGTTCACATGGTTCTGGCTGATAGGAAGCCCTCTTGAGCCAGCAGGTAGATCAAAAACATCTCGTTACTAGACCCTGTGTCCCATCATCTCTTTGAGGTAACTTTGCTGTGGTGCAGATCACTTTGCGCTCCCACACACTTAAGTACCACACACAAACAACACTAACACTTGGCCACATTCAGACTCCTCTACACACACCACATTTAGTTGCCTCCACAAACAAAATTCAGAAACCACACACACTGCATTCGACAGCAAGCACAGGTTGGTACAAGCAAACAGATCTGCTGTGAAAGTCTTATATAGTTTTGCCAATGTTATAGATTTTTAGTAGTGAGTGATGAAATATGGGGGTGAATTGTTGGAAACCATCTTGCTATATGTGCAGTGCCTGATATTAATGTGTGATAGCAATAAATTGAGAGATTGATATTAGTGTTGTGTTCCACAGTTACAGGCTATATATGATCATACATAAGAATATAGGAAATTTTGGCAAACAAACATACATTTTTATTTTATTTTGGTCTATTTAATTTTTTTTTTCTCAATGTACCTGTTAATGAGAATTTCTATAAGCTAGTTTGTCATCTTCTGCTTAGGCGCATGCAAAGCAGTTGCTTTATTTATTTTTAATTTTTGTTCCTAATGCTGATATATAGCTCTGCTTATGTAAAAAAAAGACATAGTACAATATGTGTATTTAAATTTATTAGTAGACTATATTTTTACATAGGTCATGGCATCTAATTAAAGCTACTGCTAGTGCAGTTGGAATATCTACATAAATAAAATATCAGAACAGAATATAAAATGAAATGTCTATTACCTTTTTAGCTTTCCCGTTACATCAGTATAATCTCATTTAGTGAGGCTGGCGACCTCTGTGTTATATCCTTTTAACTTGTGTAATAAATAATGCTAACTGTCTAAAGCGCATCTTGACAGCAAATAGCATTGTATATAAAGTAGCAACCTCTAAAATTTGCCACAGCAGGACGTACTGGCAGCCCATTCATTACCTTAGATTTCTCAAGCAGAAAAGCCTTTGTCCTTGTTCCTATTCTAGTTGCAAGCAGTGGTATCTGCACATTTTGAGTTATTAAATTGCTGTCCTACCCTTTGAGGAGAAAACCATTACCTGTAAGAATATAATGTTCTCATATTTATCATATTGCTCACTCAAACATGGCAGTTTTTTAAAGAGCATTTGTAAATCCAATCTTTTCTTCTATTTGTCTATCTGTCGCTGCCGTTGTGGAAACATGAACATTGAGATATGGGCAGTTAGTGGACTTTAAAGGGATACTGTGACGACCATGACCACTTCAGTGATTTTTAAGTGGTCATTGTGGTAGGAGTAGGTATGTGCTGTTTTTGAAACACTGCACATAATGGTCCACTTTGGGAGGACTACCAAGTAGATATGCTACTATACTTACACATCTAGGATCATGGTAAATCAGTGTATGGCCTATCGGCCTGCCATGCTCGCTGTCTACACTCTTAACCCTATGGGACTTTACATGCAGATCACACTTATTGAGAGAACAATGTCTTTGTAGCACTCATTCAAGAGACACGTTTTAAAGAAGACGGAGTCAACATTACGAAGCAAAATGTACCCTGTAGGATATTTTGGCAATACCCACAGGGCTAAGAAGGCAGGTGTGGCTATTCTGATTTATGCACAACTCCAATTTCAAGTAAGAGACTGCAATAGGGACCCAGAGGGCAGGAACATTTTTGTGTGGAAATTGGGTGGGCACTGTGTCAAACATTCTTTTCTATGGCCGTTTACCACAAACTCCTAGAGGAGTCCAGGTCAGAGACCCACTAGCAGCTTTTCCCTCTGTGCCCCTGGTTCGGAACTTTCCCTTCTCTGGAATTGAACCAAATGCTATCTACGTGGCAGCCGTTCGCATAAACAAACCCACGAATGGTCCTCAGCGATACCGCTATGGAACTAATTTCAGCATGAGGACCCCTCAGCGGTACTTAGCCGCTAAAGTTATGAAACAGTTTTCGGCATAAGGTGAACTTGCGGTTCCCGAACAACTTGGTTTGGAACCACTATGGCCCAACCAGGAAAACACTTTTTGGAGGGAAGGTGCCCAAGACTAAGGGGAACAAACACTCCTGAGATAAAGGCGGAGCACCCTGTATTTTGGCCACAGGAGCTCCTGAAAGTTGACCGGCAAAAGCTGGGATCTGAGCACTATTTGGACAACGGTCGCTTAGATCAGGGCTGTTGGGGATGTATGACATGTTATTTGTTTTTATGATGTTTTGTATTTTGCTCTCTGTTGCTGGGAGTTAATTAGCTCACCGGTCTTTAACTCCATTATCTCCAAGCCCAGAGGTTCCTGGGAGGGGCTTGTATTGTATTATTTGGAGACCCTCTGCTGGGGTCTGTGCATAAAAGGAAGAGTTTGGCTCATTAAAATGAGTTGTACTCCCAGAACTATGTATTGTCTAGTTACTGGGGGAGGGGGGGAAGGGCTATTCACTGATCAGCACCTTGTTCCAGCTCGTGGAGGATTTAGCGGGGAAAGTCCTTGTAAAGACTATCGCTCCCAGGACTGTGTATTGTCCAGTCCCTGGGAGAAAATAGAGCTAGTCGCCTATCCTTTTCCAGAACGGAGATTCTCCATGAGGACCTCAGTCAAGCCATGGCGACTGGGGCAGAAGCGCTGAGATTGTCCCCGGTTCAAGCTAGGAAGTGATCCTTGGAGGTACCCAGGGAGCTCCACTACAGGCACAAATATATATGCACCTAACCAGTGTGGGTCAATGGGGAACTTACAGATCCAAAATATTCGAGGCAGGGCTTCCCCTCTTGCCTCTGCTGTTCACCTTGATACTAGAACCCTTTCTCAAAACAGTCAGACAGCAGACATTACGGGATTCAGGCAGGAAGATAGGGAACATAGAGTAGCAGTCTGAGGTCAACATGTTATTTATTTATCACAAATCCACGTATATCCCTCCCATGTCTGATGAAAGCATTTAAAGTATATGCCAAGCTATCAACATCACTCTTGCGGAGGGAGAGGCCAACTCGATCCGTGCATGAGTGCCATTTCATTGACGCCAGTACCAGATTAAGTACCTGGGAGTCTCGGCTACAACTGTTGCTTTCCAACTATACCTTAGGAATTTATTAAGTGCTGCAAAATCTCCTGTGCCTGCAGTCTGGAGAAAACAGAGACACACACAAAAGACCAATGGTTTTGAAAAATTCAAGAAATCCAGGTGGCCGAGGCTCTTTTGTCCACATTGGCATGGTATAGTGTATGGCACACTGAATGCTGGCTCCCCTGGTTTGATTGCATCCCTCCGAGAGACAGATTGGGGGAGGGTCTGTGGAAGCGGATTTGGGTTTGAAGAGCCAACTTTGCCCTCGTTTTCTTGTCATATTCTTCAATACCAATTTTCACCACTCTACTTCACACTTCTTTTCCCTAACCTTGAACTATTCTACATCAACAACATTCAAAAGTTCTCCCTATAGAAATTGAACACTAAGATTAGTTAATTTGGAGTCGAAGACTGGAAGGGATATTTGTTGAGACAGGCCAGTGATTGGATGCGCAAGGCCCATGTGATGTCAGAGGGGATGGAAAAGTATTTTTTTTTCCAGATTTTAATAGGACACATTACACAGAAATGGTTGGGGTAACCCTTTAAAGGAAAAAAAAATATTGTACAATTTGTGTTAAAAATACAAAGATATTTACACATTTATTGCATTACATGTCCAGTTCTACAACGTTAATAGTCCTCTCTCCCCCTTTTCTTGAGTTCCTAGAATCCACAGGGTGCTTTGACTGAAGCAGGACAAGCAAATCCTTAGTATACAATATATCCAAGAGGCTTCAGGCACTTACATGGTTCAAATACAAAAGTTTTATTGGATCAAAATACAAAGAGTAACATTTCAACCAAAACAAAGGTCTCATTACAGTGTTTATGTGCAGTACTTTCTAAGCACACTGAAGCACTCTTGCAATAAAATGATGCACTGAAATGCTGCTGTTTTTTTTTACATTTCTGTAATGAAGTGTATTTATTTTAAAATGATGCACTGATGTGCTTTTTTATAATGTCATTAAAATTGAGAACCCAGATAACAAACAAAAAAATTAATTTACTTTGAATTTTCACTTTAGTAAATAACCCTGTCAGAAAAACTTTTTAAACTGGTTGGGATACACTCTCTCATCTGAATCTAAGGAACATGTGACCGTGAAGACTACAAAATGGAGTACAAGTAATGATTTTCTCATAAGACACCTTCTAACAATTTGGCTATAGAAAATATTAAGGGTCATATTGGAGGGTAATACGCTTCTATATAAATCAACTATATATATATATATATATATATCCTATTTAAAGGTTTCCTTGGTTTCACTACTCTACATTTTTATTATTTCAGAATAGACCAGGGAGCACCAGAAAGGTCGTACTGGCTCATCCTACTGTCTATTTAGTTCTCAGCAGGGTCACAGTAATCAGAATTACTGCATTTTTGGGCTTGGCATTTTGTTGTTTCCTCAACCGCCTTTAAACGATTTATTTGATTCCGTTGGGATGTAGTGATGTTGGTTGGGAAAGATGGTTAGTGTGTGTTTTTTGATTGTTTCCCTTTCAGTATTTACTAGAATAAGTCAAATCCTCTTATTAAATGCAATCTGTTAACTTTAAAATTCATTCTTTGATGCATTTAGCTCCAAACCAATGTACTCATGTTGCAGTTTTATTTTTAAGACTGGATAACTAAACTTTATCAGGGGTTATTTACGAAAGTGAGAATTCAGAGTGAATTTTAAATTTAAGGTCCAGATAGCTACAATGGAAAATGCTCAAGGTCTGCTATGCTTCCACTTTGGCCACTTCAGGCTTGAATTTAGAATTTACTTTAAATTCTCATTTTAGTGTATGCCCCTACATGGGGTTTTGTGCTGCCTCTTGCATAAGTTGTATGACATAACTAAGTGCCAACTTGGTCCAAAGACCATCTTTGGTCACAACAGTAATTTTTGTATTTGTATAATATACAAAGCTGCCTTGGAATTGCCCCGTTCTCACTTTAATCCTCTCTGCCACTAGATTATCACATAACTGGAATAACCAAAGCAAGGCTGTTAGCACTAACAACAATATACAGGTATGTAATGACAGGTGCAACTCTGTGCCATTTCACAGAGTCAAACTCCACAAAGTGCCTCTAGTGACTGTCTGGTAGATAGCCACTAGAAGCAGGCTTAACCCTTTAATGTAAACATTGCAGGGTTAAGAAGAAACATATAAGCATCTTTTGAAAAATATTTCTGAAGTATAGAAAGAAATTTTAATTCTTTTCTTTATTGCCCAGACTACTTTTATTTCCATTGCTCTTATAGTGATCACATCTCAAGACAATTCACTTAGGTGTTGAAGGACAAGTACAGTGAGACCAGCACTTTGCCAAAAGTCCAAGTCAAAGGAGTTACAAATTTGTGCGCGATGTAGTGGCTCGTTCTCTCTGCTTTCCAGAACACTTGCCTCCTTGTCCCTCTGCTAGACCACAAAACATGAATTTGCATGTGATACAAAGATCCCAGGCCTGGTCACAGGAACACCCCTGCAGTCCTTATTTTGTGCATTTAACTGTTTATACACAAACACACAGGTGAACTTACATTTATATACACTGCCTAGCCCCCCAAAAAGTTGCCACCTGGATTTAACTAAGCAAATAGGAAAGAGCCTCCTATTGGATAGTTACTACATGGGTGATTATCTTTCAGCTGGCAGCAAGTTATTTAACCCCAACTGATGCAATGAGTAGCTTCTCATTTCTTAAACAACCATGTCGAAAGACACATCCCGTGGTCATGGAAAAGATGTTAGTCTGTTTGAGAAGGGTCAAATCATTGACATGCATCAAGCAGAGATTGTATGAACTACTAAAATTGGGTTTGGAACTGTCCAATGCATTATTAAAAACTGGATGGCTAGTGGGGAACCATAGTCTTCGAGGAAGAAATGTGGTTGGAAAAAAATCCTGATTGATCGCTATCGGCGATCACTTAAACGTTTGGTGAAATCAAATCGTAGAAAAACAACAGTAGAACTCAGGGCTATGTTTAATAGTGAAAGTAGGAGCATTTCCACCCACACAATGCGAAGAGAACTCAATGGATTGGTACTGAACAGCTGTGTGGCCTTAAGAAAACCACTAATCAGTGAGGCCGATCGGGGAAAAAAGGCTTCAATTTGCTAGGGAGCATAAAGATCGGACTCTGAAACAATGGAAGAAGGTCATGTGGTCTGATGAGTCCAGATTTACCCTATTCCAGAGTGATGGGCACATCAGGGTAAGAAGAGAGGCAGATGAAGTGATGCACC